TGGTGTGAAAAGAAACTGCAAGTTATACAAGCAATCCAAAAGGCATTGTGTATATAGAATGCATATAAACCAATACTCCGAAGAATACAGCACTACCCCTTTGCTCCCGCCATTGACTGGGCTCTTAAATGGATTGTGCCCAGAATATTTATGGCTTTATGTTTAGAAAAATTGTCGAGGGGAGGGGTTGCTCAAATTACTCCAATCAGCTAAATATATTGAAACGAATAGGAAAAGCACATTCCTGTTGAAATGAACATCTTGCTTACCAAAAGATGATCAAAGTGAGTAACGCCACTATCGCCACCTGGGGGACCCATTTCATGTGCGTGCCTGTATGTATAGTCCACATGGATTAGAGAATATATGGTACGTCAATCACTTTTTACTCTTGGTCTATCATAGGAAAAAGACTACAAGTGTTCTCTCAGCAGAAATCCTAAGACTGCAATCCTAAACACAAGAAGACTTACTTCCAAATAAACATGCATAGGATAAAATTGTAAGACCCGGGTCATATTTGCGTGTGCAGCATTTTATGATTGCAAGATCAAGCGATTTGAACACTTAAAAGAGTGCCATCAGATACTGTAGCACACAGAACCCTTACCCCTCACCTCACAGAACCGCAAACAATACTTTCACTTAAAACAGGTCTCATTCTCCGCTGCCAACCAACACGTGCAGTAGGCTCATGCAGAGAAAATTAGTGATGTACATGCAACCATATTCTCCTGGGCATTCCATTGTGAGGTTGTCATATGTAAGTAGTCGTTTTTAGGAGTTTCTCTGGGGAGGGGGCATACTGTAAAAAAATGGGATTAGCTATTAATGTGTGTGTGGTTAGGATGTGGGTGTTGTAAATACCCAAATGCAAAAAGTCACTAAAGAAAACCTAGAGGAATGCATGTGGAATGTCATCAGTCCTGAATGTTTATGTAATCCTTTTTTCTTCTATAAAGCAAGACTTAAGTACATTGCTTAGCTTTATTGCAGCTAGTTTACACTAGCAAACTCTACATATTGTTTAAATAATTGTTGTAATAATCATCATATGTATGGCTGCCATCAGTCTGTGGCAACTTAATAGAAGGATGCACAAGGATGCATCAAAGGACAGCAACTACCTTCTTGTGCAAGCAACCCCTCGGTTTAGCTTAATGCGGGAAAAGAAACAGGAGTCTGCCAAAGCCAGAGGTGAAGAGCCACACTTCAGGGCTGTGACTACAAGGTGGTGCAGACTATCCAACAGAGTCACTGCCTCTGTGAGGTATTTGAGAGGCAGAGCACTAAACAAGGAAGCAACTCTTTGCAATTTGCTAATTGATTCAACAAGAGAAAATTGGCATTGCACCTGATAGGTGAAAATCTCTCATTACTTTTGAAGTGACTCAGGATCCAAGATTAGCCCTTTCTTATGGTAGAGAGCTAAGCTATTTTGCAACTCAAGCCTTAGTAATGGGAAAGCAAGCGTCTGTCAAGCAGGAGAGTAGCAACTACTCTGCCTTAATAGAATTGTCACTAGACTCACAACTTAGGGCAACTATATTTTCTCCATTCAGAAGAGTAAGAATGAACTTGGAGGGATTACAGTTTCCCCTCATTTCTCCTTATGCACAATAAGTTTGCAGGAGCCAAGTAACCAAGGGCAAAGCTCAAATTACTAGCAATTATAACCAGAGTGGAAAATCTAATTTTAAACCACTCTTTTAAAATGGAACAAAAGTACTTGCCTGAAGTAATTAAATACTAATTAGATAATTAGTTTTAATGATACTAGGAATGCAATTGCAGCAATTTAATCCAGCTTTTAGTTTCCAGTAAATAGCCATAAGAGTCACAATTTACTTGAGTGGCTATTATTTATACTAGCAATTATTTTGAACTGCAATGTTGATTTTTCTAACATCAATTATGCCAATAGATTCACCTTTACCATACAAGAGCTCACTGTAGATGTTCTTCAGACTCTTCAAGTCTCAATTTTGAACAATTCCCCCCCATTTATTCGAGTATAGATATTTCAAGGTGGAATTACACACTGGCCTTATACATAATGCTACCCCCCTGGCTTATTTAACCAATGAGTTGTTACAATGTCCCAACCCAGCCATGCTAACAAACTGTAATTAACTGTGAACAACCCCCAAAGAATACCCATGGCTTGTTGTTGTGTTGTGGGTTTTGGGTTGTTTAAACCACAGGTTGTCAATATACTGAACCCATAAACATGGGTTGCAGATGGGCTGTTTCCCCAGGCTACAGAAGTGGCAGGCAAGAGTGGTAAATTCACCCATACTCTCTACATGACTTTACCACTGCAAAGGCATTTGGAATATAGCAAGGGAACAGCAAGGAAGACATTAACAACCAGCCCAGGGACTGAGAAAACAAATAATGCTGAAAACGGCACCCCTTCGTCTTTTCCTTAAGTTTCCCTAACAAAGTTACAATGTCATGGCACAGCATTTCCCTATGTGAGAATACTTACTGATGCCAGTGGGGTGGGGAAATTACATCACAACGAAAGATAAACAGAGGGAATGCCAGCTCCAGACTTCCTGGTACTGGGAAGTGGGGGGGGGGGGAGGCAGCTGTGGGGCAAAGCCCCCGGAGGGGACCCATTCCCACCTCTTGCTTATCATTGCTGCAAAGCATTCAGTATCCCTGCCCCAGGACCAGTCCACAGTGGGAGAAGGCAAGCTGAATAGAGGCTACTGAGATGCTGTTCCTATTCCTTATTCCTTGGAGAGGGCAGGTGAACAAACAAGCACCATGACTGGCAGGGACAGGGACCTCTGAGGGTTGGTAGTAGGCCAGCGAAGAGAATCCTCTTCACCAGTTGCCCAAAAACATGGCCCTATACAGATACTATGTTTTTGTTTCATAGCTTGGCTCTACCCTCCTTTCTGTTCTGATAGTTAAACTTAAAGAATGTCTGGTATTGATTTTTGCATTTCTGTATGTCTATTTTGCAACAAGCTGCTTGTGTTTTAGTTCTTGTTTTCTTGTGTGCACATGAATACACCATACAAAAAGCAAAATAGATGGGATCCCCAATCACTCCAGGATTCCTTTTTCTACGGTGGTTTCACTGATGGATTTTGAGCACATACTGCAATCACATTACCACTGCATTTTGCAGGACTGGACAGATCAGCTTTGTGGAACCCTTTCTTTAAAAAAGATCCATTGAAAGCACAGTGCAAAACAATGCTTGGAGAGGGTAGCAATTAATGAACCATGTCCCTGTGAGCAAATAGTTTAGGCCAGGAATTTGTTTTCATTATCAGATCTGAGATCAGTCTTCACACAAAAAGCTACTCTGCTTCCTTCAAACTCTTTTTCGTTTTAGCAATCCAACTGAGCAAATGGGCAGAGTGGAATCACCTCCTAGCTTTTACATACTGCAAATAAGCCAGAAAGCTGTTTTAATTAATCCACTCATCCACCCTGGTAGCCAATGAGGGATGGGGAAAGAAGCAGGCTGAAAGTGTGGTAAATTCCATGCAGTATCTGAAAAATGTTTCGAACCTTTGTGTGTGTGCGCGCATAGGGGGCAGAAATGGAAGGATCACTTAGCACCTTTAATGCTAATCTACAAAACAGATCAGAAAATCCCTGTAAGTATTCCTAAGCATAACATTGTGTTGTTCTAATGTGTGATTCTGTTCTAAAATGGAAAAGAAAATATAGTCTGCACATTATTATCTAAGGAGAAGACAAATTTAGCAGTAATGTGGTAGTTTTACCACAAGGATCCAAGACTGTATGTTCTAATTTTCCAGTAAGCATGTGGGAGCTGAAAACTTGCCAGCTAAATTCCAAACCTAATTCCATTCTATTTAGGCTGAGAATCATTTTTAGCCATCCATTTTAGAAGATGTGTGTGCTGAGAATATCTCCTGATGTCTGAAGTTTCTCCTATACTAGCCTGTAAATATTTCATAATTTTCCCCAGTATGTCTGTGGGATTATCTTTGCAACTGTGTGGACTAGAAGCATTCACAAAAAAATAACTGGATTTCTCATTAGACAGCAGAGTGATCATGGCCAGAGCTGTTGCTATTGAAAATGTGCCAATGCAAACTCTGCTCATGGATCTCTAGTATAGTAACTGCAATATGCAAAAGACATTTCACTTATATTCCACAACAATTGGATCATATGTTTGTTAACAGTTACCTAGTTAAATGGTTTGCTGAGCTGCAGATTCATTATGTCCTTGAACAATAGTAAGGTCCCAGTAGGATAACTTGGTCAATCAACACTAGTGATTTTTAACCAGACTTCTGGATTTCATTACTCTTTTTAAAAGGTATGCATTCCAACAAAAACGGACTCTTATCTGTATGTACCAGTAAATCAGATTCCGGTATACATGAGCAATATTCACATGAAACTTTTACATATCCTGTTCAGCAAAACATCCCCAAAATTTCTCTTTAACTGAAGCTGACAAATCAACAAATCAACTTAGAAACAAAGCAGTTTCTAACCCAAATTGTCAACAGCATCTAATAATGCTAAGAATGCTTTGCAAATTAAAAATCTCTTTCAAATTTCTATCGATCTGTTGTCTAATATGACAGACACCATAGATGTTATGCTTCCAGTTACCCAGAGATCAAATGGTAGAATTTCTGCATACCTTACAACTGACAACTTCTCAGACTTGTACAAAAGATGCAAACACAACCACTGTAAGACCAGGTAAATCTTACTTGGATGATTTAAGAGTGGTAAAAACATCTCTTACAGGACAGTCTTTGAATTTTTGAATATTGCACAAATAAAAAGAGTGAGATTTGAACCATACTCCAGACTTCATAGACAAAGTTAGCAACTTAGTTGAAAAGAAACTTTACCAAGTGATAGTTGGTATTGGATAACTTGTCAAGAAATAACTCTGTGCTGAATGTTTTCCAACTCCTAAAATGGAAGATTGAGAGAAAGTGTTGAGCATTTCCATATCCCATTTACTGATGAACAAGAACACATGACTGATAATTATTATTTTATTAATATCATTTTATTTTTATTATTATTATTAAGGAGGCAAGGGTCTCAGAGGCACTGGGAATGGCTGCCAGTCCGGATAGACCGATGAAGAGTAGAAAATTCAAAACAAGTTGAGTAGCTTCAAATCTGGGTGCTATTAGTGCACTTTTGTTGCCTGTCACTGTGTTGCTCATGCCATCACCAAAAGAAAAAGCAAACGACAAAATATCAGTAATCCACGTCATTTGGGCAGGAGACAGATCACTACAAAGATCAAGAGTACCAGTTGTAGCTCACTCCTGTCATTGGGCAGGAAGCATGTTCCCTTGGCCTTTGGATCCTCAAACACCATGCTCTCTGCCTTCTCAGTTGCAAATGTGTATGGTCTCTTTCTGACACACACTGCACTAGGTTGTTTTGGTCATGTATAAAATGGAATTTTAAAATTTATCTACATGCTTAAGAGTGCAGTTTTGATCCTCTCTCTTGTTTCAATGTTCTTGATTAATTAAACATATACCAGTTTTCTCTCAAGCCTTAAGTCTGAAGTGGTCCATGTAAACAAAACACAGCTAAAATAAAAGTTTTTTGTCCTTGTCCTGGAATAGTTTCTATCGATATGCATGGTTTCCTGAAAGTGTTGTGTTGACTAAATGTAAAACAGGCAGGGGATGAGCTTCTGTGTTAAAAACCCAGTGATCCAAAGGTAGAAGATCATCATTGGAGAACAGCAAATACAAATACCTGCAAAGTCAGAGAGAGAAAACAAGCTCAAGTGAGCAACTGGTTCAAGTCTGTCAGCAGTCTGAACAAGATGACCTTTCTAATTATGCACTGTGGGGTTTAAAGTAAATATATCACTTGATTAAAGAAGTTGTAGATGATCAATTACATCTGTATAGATTCGTCTATGAAAACTAGTAACATTTCTGAAAGAAATTTTCTGACGTAGCCATGCCTCATAGCAGACCTGTTAAAAGGTGCCTCCACTTTTGTCATGAAGAAAAGAAAGCTTCTTCTAGGATGATGCCTGCCGCTCAAAAATGTTAGTGCTTGCTTTAAAAAACATAATTCTAAATCTGCTACCTAATTAACTGGGCCAGCTGTTTTACTAGTTTAACAGTTGCTTGTTCATATACATTGTTTTCATAATCTAATTTAGATTTTGAAAATGTTTTTAATACTGATATAAAATATAATTCTTTTGAGCCATCTGACTGTATTTTAAATCTGTAACATAGGACAGGTGTGTGTTGGTGATGCTCTACATCACCTGTTCATTTATCTTAATTTTTGTAAACATTTAAATAATTTTGAGAAAAGTTAGGATAATTGAGGAGATTACAGGACACTTTTTATTAGTAAATTGCTATGTTACCTGAAGATTAGTAACTATATCGACAACAAAAAGGACAGTTGAAGAATTATTAATTGTGTGGGTATGCTGTTACTGTTGTCATTTACTTTTTGATTGTTATATTGTGCCAGGGTTTTTCCTGTTTGTTTGTTTCTATGCCTTTTTAAATTTGTAAACCACCCAGAGAGCCATCTGGATATTGGGAAGTATAAAAATGAAATAAATAGTAAATAACAGCAACACTCCTATTTCAGAATGGTATTTAAATATATGGTATACCATCTTATCTAAGAAGACATTATCTGAGAAATGAAAGGGAGAATGATAGTGAAAGATTTAAGAGAATGTGTATTCTGCTTTTAAAGTACTGGCATAATAAATTTCAGTAAGCCAGTAAATGTTCCATATATTTGGGTGAATAATTGTGATTTTGTCAGACTGTGAAGACTTAGAAATGATGGATATTAAGATCATATCGTTTGTAGTAACATGCTGCTGTGATTGTCCATTTATATGGAAGAAAATAAGTAATATTTTAATTAAATACATAAAATACTTGAAATAAACTAAATGTTCACAAATGGTCCATTTTGTTACAAAATTAACACGAGTGAATTCCATTTGGCATTCCATCTGCAGTGAGACACCTCACTGGAGGGTCTTGTCTCTGATGAAATGTGATGCTGGCTTGCAGGCTTTACTGGAGACCCATAGCTTTCCTTTTCAGTCCTCATCAGGTAATTCACCACTATATACCCCACCCTTGCCCAGTATAGCCATATATACTTCTTGGGATCACAGTCAAAGAAAGCAGATGTGGCAAGTGAGCTTTAATTCAAAAGCTTTTCAAGCTTCCTCCTACAACATAACACAGAACCTCAATATAGCAAGTTTAAGGAAAACTAGAATAAATGTGTGCCGCCATAAGAGTAAAATACTAAGCCTCAGGCAGAAGGTTTTAAAAACACAATATGGCTAAGAGTTACTATCGAGGACAACTCCTTAAGGGATCCAACTCAGAAAGACAAAATATGCATCTCCGCTTTCTTCACTCTAGTTCAGGCATGGGGAAACGAATGAACTGCTTTTGGCCCCATCCTGTGCAGCCCAGAGGACGTCAGTGGACAACAGCCCTGCCCCTTTCTCTATGTGGAGATGTATAAAATTCAATGCCTTGCTTAGCACAGAGAAAAGAACTTGGCTGATGTTAGCAGCTGCTGCTCTATCCGGCACTGGTATAGTCAGGCACCTCATTTGTGAGTCTCTTGCTGTCCCCACTTGGGTGAGGACTAAGATGCACAATTCCTCTCAATTCCGCAGCAAGAGGTACAAAAGGGAAGATTTGACCCACACTAGGAGGATTGGCTCCTTCCAGGACTGGCTAACTCCTTGGCTGTGAATATCCTTAAGTATTCTGTCTGATATTGGAAGCTAAACCCCAACTCTGGGGAACCTCTGCATGCCCCGTTAGCTGGAGGTTCCACATCCCTGTTCAATGACTTCTAGATTATGGTATTTCATAGTTATACATGAAATTTCTGGAAGAATGTGTTAGGCAACTGCCATATTACTGTTTCAAAGCATCAGAATTATGATCCAAAGAATTCTAAATTCTGTACACTTACTTGAATTCTATTCCCTACCCACCAACTGCAATGTATGGGTTTTCACGAAATTCAATCAAGTCAAGGAGTAGGTATGAAGGATCAAGTGAAGGGAGAAAGATAAGAATTAGACCAGAAGCACTTGCCTAATGAATGACTAAAAGCTGTGTAGAGCATAAATGTATCATTTATTATAACTAGAAGTCCTTCCTCAGATATATTTTACGCTCGGTATTCAGAGGACACTACAATGTAATTCAGATCTACCCCCATCCTGAAAACCATGCACACCTATAAGGACTAGACACTTCTTCGTGTAACAAAGGTAGTTTGAAACAGCAACAACTGCCTTCACTATATTCAATTTTCCCTTGAGTAGGACTTGACAGCATGGAGACCTTTTATAATTTCTTTTGCATGGAGGAAAGGGGGCAATACAGCAAGAAAGTAAGCTCATGGTGAAACATACTAATAGCCTGCTCCTATAAAATATCTCAGAGGTACTTATCTAGATGGAAACACAACTAGTATGGCAAAAGCAACTTCTTTGATATTTTCTGTAAACAAGTAACACTAAAATTTTAATTAAGAAACAGGGAAGTATTATACTTTCAGGATCTCAGAAACACTGTTCCTGAAAATGCAACTTTTGTCTGGTCATTCATTCATACATAGTTTACCAATATCCTTTTTGTTCTTCTGTTACATTCAGTACACTGTGCAGCAGTGTACCTTTCTGTCAGCCTGTTTGTGTTTTTACGTCCAATAAACTGGTTGGGTGTTCCTCACTGGGTCACTCTCATCTATAAATAGGTTGTTTCTAGGTTGTTTGCAGATGACAGTTATCCATTTAAAACATTTTATATTAGCCTTCATCAAGATCAATTCCAAAATAGTGTGAAAAATGCAATATGTGAGAAAAAAAATAACAGTAATTAAACATTTGTAAAAAAACTAGGTATCTTTCTGTGATCTCCACTGTTTGAAGCTTGCTCAGACAAATATCAAGAAGAAAATGAGCTTACTTTAGTGTTTCAGCAAGAAAGAAACTTTGTTGTACATCATCATATGTAGGAGCTGAAGAGTAGACATCTTTCACACCAGAAAATCCTCCACTCACTCGGCAGTACTTGTCAATGGCCTTTATGAAAGGAAAATATAATGAATGCTCTACTGACCAGTTTGCCATAATTGCTAGATGCAAGTCACATTCAACTATGCCCCATTATGGACCATACACAACAAAAATACAAAAAAGGCAGCAAAAAAAAAAAAAAAAAACCGAACCAAGGCCAACACCAGGTATTTGTATCTGAAAGATAAGATGCCAATTTGGCAGCAGTATGGCCTCATGACCTGGGCTCAAGCCATTAATAGCTTGAAAAATTAAAACTATCAGCTTAAATTGGTCCCAGAAACACAGCCAGTGCAGTTCATAAAGCCCTGGCATTAGCTGAGTGGACCATCAAGTTCCAGTTAATAATATTCAGCAGCCCTATTTTGGACCAACTGCAGTTTCCCAGTCATTTAAAAAGTAAGCTGCATGCAGAAGGCACTGCAACAGGTCACATAAGATTAGACCCTACACAAGATTTATCTTCACATATTTGTTCCAAGTTTTCCCACAAACACAGGATAGAACTACTTCCATTAATCACACTTCCTGTTTTGGGATGCAACCATGATGAAGCATTAAAAGGGAGTTTACTTTTTAAAATGGTATTTTAAAATAATGTATTTTCCCCACTTTACACTTGTGGATTCCTCCACTGGGTCAGAAGCCACATGCAGGCAGAAGGAGCCCTTCTGCCTGTGAGAAGCTTTACTGGATCCTACTCAGTGCTCATGCAACACCATGCAGTATCTTTGTAAGAAACATCCTTTCCCTGCTGTTATGTTGCATTCCTATCCCACCTAGCCTCACTCTATGTCCTCCTTACATAGTTTTCCTCCATTTGATTTTATTCTTACAACAACACTGCAAGGTAACACTGAGAGCAAATGACTGGCCCAAAGTCACCGAGTAAGCTTCATGGCTAAGCGGGGACTAGAGCCTGGATCTCCCATGTCTGCAGTCCAGCACTCTAACCACCACAACACACTGCCTCTTGAGTCTCATCTACTTCAAATCCCTCCACTATGGCATCAAATAAAGCAAATAGATGTATCTTTAAAAGTACACCCATAACAAGGAGCAAGCTAAGATGTGGCACAGTTGAAAAGTTTTTTTCGATTTATCTATCCTTCGGGTTTCAGAAGTCCATGCAACTCCCAGTGCAAGTTCACATCCAGAAGTTATGGATCTTTTAGACCAGGATTTAGGCTAACGGATGGTAATGTTTTCATGGATATTGCATTACCGATATGGAGTGGAATATAAATAAATATGGACCCATGATACTAATTTCCTCTGCAGTTACTAAAGGCTGACCGTTTGCATGTTTGATCCAAAACATAGCCCACTGAATTCAATGGGCTCATTTCCAATTAATGCTGCAATTCTGTGCACGCTTACTAGGAAGTAAACCCCATGGAAGTCGCTTGGGGATACTACTGAATAAACAAAGGATTGCACTGCATATGCATAAATGTTAACTGAATATCTAAATTGTTGCCACTCATCCATAACATTAGGAGAAGCTGTCACCACTGGCAGCCAGCTGGCTGGGCTCAAGAAGATGAGAGTGTGCAAGGCCATGCCAGTAGCGCAGCTGAAACTCCCCCTTGAGAAGGCTCCTTTGCACTCCCCTCTCACCACCACCCACCGTTCCAGCAGGCCATACCGAAGGAAATGAGGGAAGGATGCCGTATGCAGAGCCATTCAGCTGTGTCCGCTTTCCCCTTCCTATTCTTTTTTCTTTGTATGTCATGTCTTTTTAGATTGTAAGGCAGTAGGCAGGGAGTAGTTTCTAGTTTCTCCCTCAGGACAAGTTGCTGTGGGAGCTCTTTTGGAAGAGGAACAGCAAAAACTGCTCCAAATAAACAAATCTTTGAGCTATTCTCTCTAAATATGAATTTCTTCTGTTTCTGCAAGGTAATACTTAGGATAATAAAACCTTTCTTTGTTTAATAAAACACTGATAGCATTTTAAATGCAATTTGAAAGTTCAACCTATCTGCTTACATGTAACCCAAATGCAGCAACTTAGAACTGGAACACAGAATTAAGCAGAACTGCATGGTGCAGCTCTGGATTGCACCATATCTGACTACAATGAAGATATCTGAATCATACATAAGCCCCTTCTTTGCACAGCGTCAGGTTCTTCCTAGTACTTTTTTGGTTGTGGGGAGATTTTTATATGTAACATCATTCTGACAGGGGCTTCCCAACTCCAAAGACTAAAATGGCATATCTCAGTGAAAGTGATACTAGTTGTCTGTTTTTCAGCTGTCATGTTATATTCCCCATTAAAATATGGCCTAATTTTGAATTATATGAATGCGTAGTATTCTTTTTATTCCAATGCTCATTTCAGAGCTCAACTGTATTACTTGTACAACAGATTCAAACTTAAAAGAGTTTCATTCTTTGAACTGGCACTTGTTTGGTGTGCAGGTAATTTTCTTTCTTTCTATTACACTGCCTGTAAAGCAAACAACTATTCAGAAACTTCACACATAAGATAAATTGCTAAGTAAACATTTTGATTTCCAAACAAAAAAGCAGTCAATGGTTACCTGTGCTGCCTCCCAGCCCCACTGCCTGTATTTTGGATCATGCGTGAACCGCCACATATACCAATATGTTTCTATCACTTCTGGTCTTAAAATGTAGTATTTTTCATTTTGTCGTACTGCTACTGCCTCCACACCACCATCAAATTTAAAAGCTTCAGGTCCCAGTTTTAATGCTGCAGAGATAAGAAGGAAAAATTTAATCCATCAAAGCTTTACAGAATTTTTATGCCACACAGGTTAATATATTAATTGATGTTTGTTTTCAATGGTCACAAATATTTCGTGCTAATAACATTTGTAATGAATGATTCCTGCAAATCTGACAAGGCCTTTCATAACCTGAGAGAAATCTAAAGCCCATTCAATTTTGAGCACCCACATTTGAGAAGCCTTTGCTCCACATAATAATAGAAAGCTATAGCACAATGTTTAAATTCTGTCTAGACTACCTCTAGTAATGAGTATGTAACAGGTCACTAACCAAAACTAGGTCACTCAATAGGGTTCTGGACTTTATTTCCTTCCTCCTTCCCCAACCCTGCCTAATTTTTCCCTGTCCTCTCCTACCAGCCAAGGACAAAAGCCAGGTGGTTGCTTGGACACTGGGAGCCCTCCTGGTCTCCACCTCTAAACCCTGTACTTAGTTCAAGAGTGAAAGGAGATTCAGTCAGCGTCCTAATGGTGCACCAGTTTCTTCCGCTTGTAATCATGAGAGTTGAAGTCATGATAAAGCATCCCAGAATCCCCCTTCTGAGCTCTACAATCTCAGAGGGATTCTAAAGAAACCCATGCTCCCTAGGATACTCTCCAAGGAACACAGGATTACACCCAACTTCTTGCTCCTAGGCATTCTGAACCATTGTTACAATTCCACTGTATGTATATTCACACAGAGGAAAGTCTGATTTTGCTCAGAGTGATTTATTTATAAACATGCATGTAATTTTAGCCTTCCTCTTCAAGTAAATGATGCAGCTTTGCATCCTTGCATGCATATAGAGGGAACAGAACAGAACTCTGTCTCTTGTGTCAAAGCCAGTAACTATATATGTAGTTGCAAACCCAGGTTTAACTGATACAGCTATTCATCCATATGCATGCCTAATCAGGAGTAATTTCTAAATGAGAAAATGGAGTTAATTTGTTCTTTTTCTTTACAATTCTAAATCAATCCAGCCTAGTTGGAATGACCCACCCACATCTTCCCAAAACTCACATATTGCACGTTTGTGCTTCCCTCATGCTGCTGGCAAGTATCCCCACTAGCCCATGGCTCAAAAAGGCAAGGAGCCGGTTTCTGAGAAAGCAGTTTGTCAAAACTAATTCCTTCTTTGCCCAGCCCAGAGCAAAGAAGGACAGAAAGGCTCATATTCCATCCAGTGCTGAAGCAACCAAAGGGGACACTCAGTAGAAATACATCCTTTAGCACACTTCTTTTGAGGCCAATTCCCTCCACTCTTCAGCTATAAATGCTCTCTCGCTGGTATTGAACATAATTGTCTTTGGAATGTTCAGGCAATTGATTCTCAGCCTTCCCTCCATCAGGGGCCAAGAATGGATTTCATGATGTGTCACTACCAGTAGATGTACAAGAAAGTCCATAAATAATTACGTTCCTGCCTCAGATGTTTGTTAGAAATCCATCAGAAGCCCAATCAGCCCCTTCTATCCCAGCTTTCACGAAGGCAATTTTGAATTATCTAGATTTTGCTCCTTGTATCAAGAATTAACCCTCAAATATTCGGGCTTAGAACTTCTCTCAGCTTTCAAGGATTTTTAATCTTAAGGCACCCTGTACTATCTTGGTTTTCAGTGTTTCAGGATTTAATTGTTGGATTTAATATTCCCCTGTTCTAATTCTCCTGCAATTAATGTCTACCAGAAACCTATGGCGCTTTCATGCAGTCTCTCTTCTCAAAATTAGGTTTAAATACACACAGCACATTCTCAAGGTAATCTAAATATCAAGTCAGGAGCACAAAAAAAAAAAAAAAAAAAAAAATCAACCGAGTTTACCACCTCTCCCCACTTGTCCACATTCCGTTGCCCAAATGAGTTCCTTTATAATTGGCAAAGACAAATATTAAGGAAAGCACACACACAAGCCCCGAAACAGATGCGTACTTGTCCTGTCATATGATTCGTGACATGTATGCGCAATCTCTGCTCCAAGCTGAAGGTAGTGCCCAGCCTTATCATCTCTTGAGCCATCTGCTCCAAGGGCAAACATTCCCCCAGCAAAGCATGTGAGATGGCCCATCTTTCTCTCAAGATGGCCATTCTTCCACTCCCCAATAAAAGTTAGGCCTCCATTGGACTTTCTGATAAGATGTTCCTCTATGGCCTGCAGGGAGAAATCAATATAGTTCAATTATTTTGAATCACCAAAACATTTCATACAGTAAGTATATTTTTATGCTTTGTATGAAAGCATTTTCCGAGAGTTTTTTCTCATGCCTTGCTCTGAACCAAAGAATGGCATAAATATTCATATAATTGGATTAGCACAATAAACATACAGAAGGGAGACTGGGAGCTAAGCAGCTGCTCATTTAATTCCATAGCTGCTGAACAGGGTAAAGAAAAGGAAGAGAAGTCATGTAGCTCCTGCTTGGTTACATATAACAGGGGTTAGGCACCTAGCCCTCATCATCCTTCCCACAAAAAGTGGTTGGAAGGAGCAGAGTTAGAATTCAGTAAGGCATATTTTACACTCTTCTCTCTTCTTCAGAGGCTGTTTGGGGTGGGTAAGGGCTGGTTATAATTAGTCTGGAAGCTTTCTTTTAAGTAAAGTTGGGAAAATATACCCTTTCAATGTTTTGACTTTCAATTCCCATCACTCCTCACACTTGACAGTGGTGGCTAAGGCTGATGGGAGGTGTAGAACAATCCACCTGACCACCAGATGAAGTGATCAGCTATTAGAGCAGAGGGTTCTGTCCCTTCATCTCAACAGTTCATCAGTGCTGTGGTCAAGATGATTTTCTGAACACTATTCCTGCCGAAATACACAGAGCTATGAGCCATAGGTTCTTCGGCCAGCAGCTGAACTGTTCAGTTGTGGACTCTAGCTTCCATTCCTGTTCAGACAACAGCCAAGAATATGGTCTTCAGGATTATAGCCTTCATTTATCTGAGGTAAAACTTCTTGCCCAGGTTACTGTGAGGACATGCAGCTGATTTTGCATACACTGTCAACATTACTGTTTCTGCTCATTTTTCTTTTTAGTATCAGATTACTTGGCCAACTATTAAACTGTACTAAAATTTCCATACAACTATGAATACCACAGTAGCAACTCAATTTGTAATTATGTAATGTTTTCATATAAAATTGCTTTATATCCCCTCTCAGTTTATTAATTTATCATGTAGTTACTTATTTTATAGATTTAATGTATTATCACTATCAGGTTTTTATTACTATTAATTTTATTGATACTATTGTTTTATTGTATTGTTGATTTTACTCTGCTTGTATGTAAGTTGCCCCGAGGACCAATGGCTAATCGGGGGACATATAAAATAAAAAAAAAGTGTTAGCAAGCACATGAGCGACAGCTACTTGCCCTGTAGCACTCAGGAGCAAACCTAATGGCACAGGAACATTTCTCCTCACTGGCTGCCTCTTAGCAGTTAGTGTTGGATTAGGAGGACTTGGTTCAAATCCACATCCACACTCAGTCATAAGGCTCAATGAATGACTTTGTTTGGCCCAGTCCCACTCTCCACATAAGCTACTCACAGGACTGCTGAAAGAAATGGGATGGGAAGTCACAGATGCTGGGGGTGGGGGTAGAAACATTATATGTTAAACAAAATTGCAGGTATCTCCAAACAGGAACATAAATTGTTCTGAGAAATAGACACCTAACCTAGTATATTTAAAATGAATATGAATATATATATTATATAGTCATTACTTTTTAAAATTCCATTGTTTAACAAAAATAATGTGTTGATCATACATAGCAGACCTCCTGATCCTTATGTGTTTTTGTTCTTGTTGTTGCTCTAACAATATTCATGTTCTAGAAACACTTTTTTGGGAGCAATATGCTGAACGGGCATCTTTGCATTCACATATATGGGCTCTGCACTTGCATGCAGCCTTGATTCATAGAATCATAGAAACAGAGCAAGTCAGAAGGGACCTCCGGCACCAGCCGGCTCCGCTCACAACATGCCAAAACTGCAACACCTGCAGACTCTAGGTAGGAAGCCCTCCCTCACCACAGTCATGCACAAGTCCTTTGTGAGCTCCCATGTATTCACTCAGTTCTCTAAGACAACCTGCTGTGATTCTTGGATGTATGTTGAAGCTGGCTCAGGGTCAATTCTAGTTTCTCTTGGCCCACAGAATTGTACAGTCAAGTGATTCATTGTATAAAACCTGAAACTGTGAGATTTTATCGCCATGTATGAACAAAAGTTCTGCCAAAAGTTCTGGAAACAGGTTAATACTTATCCATAATTTAGAGATAGGATACAAATTCTACTTTTTATATAAAAGGAAGCAGTCCTCTGATCATTTTCTGTCGATCTCTTAATGCTAATCCTTGCAATTATCTTTGGAAATCTCTAATTCAATTGCAATGCTTGTAGGACCCAAAAGGACCACCTACTATGTTTAATCAAATAAGCTTAGCTAGTAAAATTAATTAAGCCTAGGAAGCCACATTCAGGATGGCATCACTCATTTATTCAGTTACGATACTGTTGAAATAATACTGAGTGAGAAGGCTCTTGTTACTGTATTAAAATCCAGTTCTTACTATATTCACATAACCTACATAGCTGGTTCATTTATGGTAAAATGTGGAACTTAATACAATCCTGCACAGCTTGAGATCCATCAGTCCAAATGCCAACTACTAGACAAGTGCTGTCATAAAGCTCCTCTTCTTGCTGGCTGCCCAAGACCAAAGGGGATAGGTGGAACAGGAAGTCAAGGTTATCACGTATCTGAAAGATTACAGTAGGTTGCTAGTAGGGTATGTTCAGTTTGGTGATTTTTTGTTTTCAAACATTAACCAAAATAGAAAAGAATCACATATACCTGGCTGCTCTGTAAAGGATCATCTCAATTAGAAGAAAAAGAAACTTTCAAAAAATCAACATTTGTATTGTTTGTGGGGGGAGGGGAATCAGTGCACTATAATCACCTCAATAGCATCATCATACATTTTCCTTGCCTCCACGTCCATCTTATCGGACATCAACCAAGCTTTCAGCAAGTACTCATAGAAACTGTCTCCCAAACCACCCATGGATGTGTGATCTGCACAAAGCAAAGAGAGAGAATGTGTGCATACATAAGTATATACAATGCTATCTATACTTGCGAAGGCAAAGTCTTCAGTCTGAATAACTAAACTAATATTTTAAAACATTGCAAACATTCTAGCAATCTACCTCAAATTTGAACGCCTTAGAGTTCTCATTTTCTTAGAACCAACTTCTACAAGCCTTGTATTCAGAACACTGAATATATAGGCACCTCTCATTTTGTATCACTAACAAAATAAAGCAAATCCTCCTATCATAGATTGGTTTACAAGCACTTTGGCTTGCAAGACAGAACTTAAATGTACTATTTCCCTGATTGGACAAAAATCCTTAATGTCAGATCTAGGATCAAACACTCAATTTGACTGAATAAACCTCAAAACAGAAACAGAATGAACATTTTCCACTATTTTTCACAATCCAGTAGTTGCATACTGCCAGAGCTTTGACATGAAATGCTCAGATTAAACTTCCCACCATCAAGATGAAGAACAATGTACTTTTCTGTGTAATGGTGGAAAACCAATGACCCATGGAGTCAGGTCTTATGGCCTCCCCCTTCACAGTTCTGCCCCTTTCTTTTCTGCTCCCATCTGCCATGAAGAACACCCTTCTCCTGACTGGCAAGTCACTCCCCCCAAGTCAAACCCTGCGAGAAGTGTTTTTGGGGGGGGGGAGTTCAGGATTCTGAAAAGGGAGTGAACGTTACCTTCTAGAGTGGATCAATGAGGAAGACGTCTTTGATAGTTTATGACCGTTGTCCCCCAGAATCAGAGGCAAAGTGCCTCTGTATGTCAGTTACTGATGAATACAAATAGGAGAATATAGTACATTTGTGGATCTATTCAACACAGCTTAATCTCAAGCATGTGTGAATAGTAACCATACTTCAATTTTCCAGCTAAAAATGTAGAACTTAATTCATTTGAGCATGTGCTTCATCCTTTTGCTCAAAAGATAGAGGGACAAAGTTAAAATGCCCCTTTTCATGTCCAGTCAGCCCTCCACATTCATGGAGGTTAGGGGCACTGGACTTCTGCCAAAGTAAGAAAAAAAACATGAATGCCTCTAGCCCTTCCCTCAACCTTAACTCTTACAACTGCTGACCATGCATGTACTGGATTGCTTCTCCCCACAGCTGCCACGCATGTGAGTCTTCAAGCTCATTAGTGTAGCTGCAGCAATGGCTTCACCAATTTCCCTTTCTTTTTTCTTGATATACCATATATACTAGCATATAGTATACACCCCCAATTTTTGTCTTGCCGTTTTTAGTATCAAATGTCAACTTATATGCTGATATATACAGTAATAACATGTGGAATGAGCAACCAGGAAGTATGTTTCAGAAAAATACTCCTATATATCAGGTATTTTCTAGTCTATGTACTTCATCTGCAATTTTCTGCAGTAGACTGCAAAACTTTTTAAAAATCCTATTTAATTATTGATGGCAAACTCACAAATAATCAAATTTGTGAAAGCTAAAACCTGTGAAAGTTGAGGTTTGACTGTATATTTATATAAGATACATATTTCTTATTAGAGTGAAAGTTCCTTAACAATTATTAGAGTAAAACTGAGTCCCCTCTTTTTGAAGAAGAGGTATACAACAACCCCATTTTCAGGTGTCAGTCTACCTGCAATACATTTCAGCTTTCTAGACCACATGGAAATTTTATCTCAAACACTACTGAGGTTTCATTCCAAAATAGAACTGGCAAAGAAGGAATCTTGAACTGGTTTTCCATTTCTGCTTTGGTGGCAAACAGTGCTTCAGGTAGCCACGGGAGGGTTTTATCAGACATAATGTTAAACTTGATTACCATAAACCAGGAAGTGAGGGTTGAAATTAGAACATGTAAAGGAAGGAGGGAACATGGGAGCATGAAGTCAGTGCATGGTAGCTAAATCATGGTTTGGCTGTAATGTCTGAATTGGATTTTCTATTCATATCTATTTTATACACACCATACATATGCACACCCACACTTTTTTCTGAGAAGGAAATACTCACGTTGCCCCCAGCGTCCAGTTCTTGGATTCAAGTAGTTAGGATAAAGCCCATTGGGACGGTCCATTTTTTGAAGTAGTTTACGAATATGCATAACCTAAAAGAAAAAGCATAAATATGTAGGAAGTAGACACATTTTAAGATTACTGCATTATTTGTGTTATCAACTGTCAGTGTTACACAAACTCTTAAAAATCATATCACAAAGGCAGCCCAAAGCTAACCTTTTCATAGTAGATTGGATTGCCAGTTAGGTAACTCAGGTGAACAAATTCCATGTGAAGCGTACCAAATTCTGATAGGATACTGCTGCCAGCTGAAGCCCATCCCCAATTGCGACCAACACCACTGTAAGAAAAGGAACTAATTAAAGCATGAAATAAAGAACAAAAGAAAAACACTGAAACAAATTGAAAAAAACAACAACAAGGAAGAACCAATAAAGCAAGCCTAACACAGGAACCTGAGTATGCAAACAGCTTAAGATAATACCTCCACTTTTATGAAAAGAAAGACAACGCACCACATATATACTAAATACACAGAGTGTCCCTCTGCAGTCCTTGAGCAGCCCAAATCTATGATTTACACCTCTTCTAATTGCCAGCATGGTCCTCACCCTAAATCTCATACCTTTTCAAATTCACCATTGCCCATGGAATCCCTGTGGGTGTGTTGAAGGCAGGAAGAAGTTTTCCTGCAAGTTGCACTGCTTTTGTCTTGAATACCTGTAACAGAAGAAAGGTGGTTAGACCACTACCTGTTATTTACAGTCCAATCCTCTTCAGGAGTTCAATGTGACTCATTTCCTGGTAAATGTGCATTAAGTGCACAGGCCCTTCTTACCTGCCCACACATGCACCCTCACACCCAGATGCATGTGGTCTTTCAGGGAAAGAGACACGCTTATAAAAACCGCCCCTCGGCACACTCTTCTTCAACTCTCCATTAATAAGGAGCACACATGAAGATCTTCCATCTTGTCTGGATTCAGTTCACCCTGCTGATTCACACATATTCAGCCACGACAACACTCTGAACGCTTCTTTCCAAGTCTTGAGACAATTTTCTCAGCAAGCATTAAATACTGGGGCCAACATGAGTCTGAGAAACTTGCCATGACATTCTCTGTGTTCTCTGAGTAGCTGTTTTACAATCTCTTCAAGCAAAGGCAGGTTGCTTACCTGTAACTGTTGTTCTTCGAGTGGTCATCTGTGCATTCACACGTATATGGGTGCTGAGCCTGTGCAGTGCCTGTTGCCGGGAAGATTTAAAAGCTTTAACGGTTTTGGCGGGAACTCCGCCCCCCATAGTATAAATGGGTGGAGTGTCTGCCCCTTTGCCAGTCAGCTGAAGACCGTCCATTCGCCCCTAGCTGAAGCTGGCCAGTATAGAACCCTGCTCCATAAGGAAGTATAGACTATACAGTCTACCCAGTCACCGACACTGAAGTGGGGCCAGTGGGCGGGTTGTTTGAATGCACGGATGACCACTCGAAGAACGAAAGTTACAGGTAAGCAACATGCCTTTCTTCATCATGGTCTCCATGCATCACACATATATGGGTGACTAACAAGCTTACCACACCCAGAGGCGGGATGGTGTCGTCACTGAAGAACTGTGGACAAGATGGAGCGGCCAAAGGAGCAGTCCTGTCTGGCCTTGATGTCTAAGTGATAGTGCTTCATGAATGTGCACAGGGTAGACCATGTGGCTGCTTTGCAGATATCATGAAGTGGAATGCCCGCAAGAAGGGCAGAAGAAGTGGCAACAGCTCTTGTGGAATGTCCTTTTGGAGTAACAGGTAGGTCCAGTTTGGAGAGGTGGTTAAGTGAGTTCAATCGTTTCGACGATCCATTTCGACAGTCTCTGAGTGCTGACAGGTGCTCCCTTGTCATGTTCCAAGTATATGACAAAAAGCCGTTTTGTTTTCCTGAATGACTCAGTTTGGGATAGATAGAAGGCCAAACTTCTGCGGACATCTAGGCTGTGTAAAGAGCGCTCAATCAGTGTCAAGGGAGCTGGGAAGTAAGCTGGTAGAACAATGTCTTGATTAAGATGAAAAGGCACCACAACCTTAGGCAGAAAAGGTGGGTTGGTACAGAGAACGACTTTTTCCTTGTGGAAATTGAGGTATGGAGGGTCAATGCGAAGAGCACACAATTCGCTGGTTCTTCTGGCCGATGTGATAGCAACTAGGAAAGCCGTTTTCCATGAGAGAAGGCGGAAATCGGTAGTAGCCAGTGGTTCAAATGGAGCTTTGGTGAGAGCCTGCAAAATGACAGAAAGGCTCCACATCAGGACAACCAATCGGATCAGAGGTTGTAGGTTTTGTAATCCTCACACCAGGTAACAGGAGAAAACAAACGAACCTCCAATACATCCTCAATGATGCGAGATGGCTGTGGTATACACCTTAATGGAGGAAGGTTGAGAACCCCATAGTGTAACGAGAGTAGGAATTGTAAAACGTTCACAGTGGTGGCAGATTGAAGTAGAAATTGGTTAGCAGCAGCAAAGGAGGTGAAATGCTTCCACTTAGCATTATAGGAGCATTGTATGTTTGGTTGTAGTGCAAATTGGAAAATGTCTGAGTGAAGATGTGTCAGATTTGAAGATGCTGTTGGTACCAGGGTCAGTAGCGAGTGTAATGGTGGCATAGAAGGAGTCTCTGATCTTGTGGAAGCAAGTGTAGACAATGCAAACATTGATCCTGAAGGAGGCGTTTTTGTCAGATCCAAAGGAGTTAGCAGGATGAGCAAAGGCAATAGTTGGTACTGAAGATGCAGTCGGTTTCGAAGATGAAGTTGAAGAAGCAGTCAGTGAATGACCCAAGCGGTGAGGTTCAGGGATCACAGGTCTGGATGCCGTATAGCACCTTGTTCTTGAGTGAGAAGGTGAGGGATGTGAGGTAGATGTAGGAACTCATTGTTGAACAGCTGGAGGAGAGTGCGGAACTAGGACTGTCGAGGCCACTAGGGAGTGATAAGGATGCCGTGAGCATTGTCGTGATGGATCTTCACTATAGTCTTTGTTATTAGCGGGATTGGAGGGAATGCATAGAAGAACTCATTCTCCCAGGAAATCATGAGTACGTCCCCGGTCGAATCCAGACTGATCCCCGCTCTGGAACAGTAAGTCCTGCAGACAGAGTTGTCCCATGTAGCAAACAGGTCTATGGTCAGTGTTCTCCACAGCTGGAAAAGATGGTGACAAGTTTGACGATCCAACTCCCACTTGTGAGTTGTGGACATGTGCCTGCTGAGGGAGGCAGATTCCTTGCTGTTGACGCTGGCCAGATGAACTGCTCGAGGAGTGATCCTGTGGACAATGCATCAGTTCCACATGTGGAGGGTGAGGTGCGCTAATGGGACCGATCTCATTCCACCCTGCTTGTTTATGTAGAACACAGTCACTACGTTGCCCCATGAAATCTGGACCGTGTGGCCTTATAGGATGGCCTGAAAGGAACGCAGTGCCTAGAAGACCGCCAGCAATTCCAAATAGTTGATATGCCTGGTGTTCTCATGTCCATGCCAGGTGCCTTGGGTCCGAAGAGACACACAGTGGGCACCCCATCCAGTCAGGGAGGCATCAGTATAGTTCTGGTGCACGGAATGGTACTCTGCAAGAAAGGTTGGTATCAATAGTCCACCAGGATAGAGTTTGGAGGACTGAATGTAGAAGTCGTAATAGTTGGTTCGGTCAATCGTGGTCTGGATGAAAATTACAATTGAACCACAACTGCAATGGTCACATTCATAGTCTCGGATTCAGCACCACCGATACCGTGGACACCATATGATTGAGCACCTGTTGAATGGAGTGTGCTGAAACAGTCCATTAAGTGGTAATCTGTCATACAGAAGTTATCAGTCTCACTTGTCAGTTTGAAGGTAGGAAGGCTCGTGTGTAAAGGGAATCCGGGCATGCTCCAAAGTAGTTGATGACCTGGGAGGGAACAAGGTATGATTTCTCAGCATTGATACAAAGACCCAATGGTCAAGCAGGGAACAGGTGGTGTCAATTGAAGTCAGTAGGTCATCTCTGGAGGAGGAGACGATGAGCCAATCATCCAGGTAAGGAGAGATGTGGATACCCTGAAGCCTGAGGTGGGCACAGAAAGGAGCCATGCATTTCCTACAGACCCTTGGAGTGGTAGCGAGCCCAAAAGGGAGAACATTGTACTCATAGGCTTCAGTACCGACAGTGAACTGAAGGAGGCCCCTGTGAGCAGGATGGAAGTATGCGTCTTTTAAGTCCAGGGATACAAACCAATCCTCTTTTCTGAGCAACAGAAGTATGTTCTGGAGTGCGGCCATTCCGATTTTTTTGGTTTTGATGTATTTATTAATCCCATGTAAATCCAGAATGGGGCGAACACCTGTCTCTTTTCAATACCATAAAGTACCTGGAGTAGAAACCGTGCAGTCCTTCAGAACGATTAAGTTTTCGGATTGCTCCCTTACGAAGTAGCTCAGTGACTTCTTCCAGGAGGGCTGCAGAGGCTGCTGTATACTGGATCAGGCTGGAAGGCGGCACAGTCTCAAACCTGATTTTACATCTGTGCTCTACGATGGTAAGAACCCACCTATCAGATGTGATGGGCTCCCAGATGGAGAGTTGACTTTGCAGCCGATCCCCAAAAGGGAGAGGGGAAGGTGGGTTGAAGGACTGAGGAAAGGTCCATGTGTCCCATCAGTGAGGACGCTTGTCAGCATCAGCTCGGCGTCTGGGCTGTTTGTAGTGTGGGGCACTGGATTGTCGGGTCCGAGGCTATCTTTGCCCAAATTGCTGGTGGTCAGAGGGATATATCCCTGGTGATAGGGTCGGAAGGGCCAGTACTGAGATCTTTTCCATGGCCACTTACGTCTTAGTTGAGTGGAGTACTCCATCCAACGTGCAATGAGGCGAGCCTTGTACATATGTTCTAACTTGTCGTTGGTCTTAGAGTGGAACAGACTGATGCCATTGAAAAGCGTATTCTTGACCCTTTGCTTCGTTTCCTGTGGCAAGTTGCCCACTCTGAGCCAGGCATGGCGTTGGAGGGCTACAGCACGGACAAGTGCCCTTGAGTTGAAATTGACATGATGTCTCACTGTGGTAAGCTGTTGTTTTGAGAACTGCATTACCTCCCTGATGAAGATGCGGCCAGTTCCCTTTGCTGGTCTGCGAGGAATGCAGCGAGGGACTTGATCTTTTGCGCAGAAAATATTGATAACGGGCCATAGTGGTCTTGTAATTGGAAATGCGTAGACTGAGTCCCATGGTGCTGTAGATGCGGCGAGACATCATGTCAATTTTGCATCCCTCTCTGTCCAATTGAGTAGAATGTTCCCTGGACTGGCAGCCCTGTGTTGACTCGGTAACTGTTGGGGATGTTTTAAGAGGAATGGTATGTCCTGCTCCTGAACTTTATACATGGCCTCCAGATGATGAGAGGTAGGATGAGGGTGGTTAGGTAGTAGCCAAGAGTCTGTCATCACCTGTCGAAGGGTGATAATAAATGGCAGGGCAGTTGGAGTGGAGTCTTCTTTACGAACCACATAGTAGATATTATCCTGCTTCACATCAGTGCACTGTTGAACGTCGATTTCAAGGGACTATGTCATATGTGCTAGCAGCTCCGAGAACCGACCTTAGGTGTCACTAGGAGAACTGGGACCCTGGGTTGTAATAATAGCATTGGGAGAGGTCTGTCCTTCTTGGGACGCTTAGGTTTCGAAGCTTCTTTGGACCCAACATGCTTCCTTATGTTACCTCAGAGAAGAATGAGAGGAGCACTTTCCATCGGGACTGGCTGAATCCTCTTTGGATGAGCGAGAGGGGGCACTTTTAGAAGACCCTGGAGCCACAGAGGAGCCACTATCAGCCGAGATTTACTTCATGGCAACCAAAGCTTGGTCCCACAACATTTCGCGCAGCCAATTTTCTCGGTTTTTCCGAGTCTGCCTAGTGAATGATTGGCAGTGGCTGCACTTGTCGGTTCTATGTCCCTCTCCTAGGCAGAGGAGACAGAGGGTGTGTGGGTCAGCAGGAGACATATTAGCTCCACACTGAGAGCACTTGTGGAAGGCCGTCCACTGTGCCATCAAGAGAAGGAGGAGGAAAGAACAGCAGTAAAGAGAGGTATAACTCAAGAGTAAGATGATAGAAGGGTTTATTTATTTATTATTTGGAAAGGGGGTTAGGGGGAAGGGGAAAGACATAAAGCAGGGTTCATTAGGGTAGCAAACAACTGGGTAAAGGGTTTTAGATCAAGAAGGGGTAAGACAAAGTTAAGAGTTTAGAAATATTTGAAAGAGTAAAGTAAGTACTGCAAAAAGACAAGGAGACAAGCAAAAAGGCCTGAGGCACAGCAAATGGTGGTTGCAAGCAGACTGGCAAAGGGGTGGGCACTCTGTCCATTTATCCCACAGGGTGGGCGCGTAGTTCCCGCTAAAGCTGTTAAAGCTCTTAAATCTCCCTGGCAAAAAGCACTGCGCAGGCGCAACACCCATATATGGGTGATGCACGATGAAGAACTGCCGCTTTCAGTAAAAATCCCTGATAAGCTTGGAACCAGCCTTATGTATTTTAAATTTTTCTATACCATCTTATAGTCTCAAAAAATCTCAAGATGGTACACAAAGAATTAAAAACATTAAAACAAGGAACACGGTTCTTGATTTAAAAATACAATAGATCAGAATACATTAAAACGAACATTAAAAACTAGGTAGATAAAAAGGTTTTGGCCTGGCACTGGAATGAACAAAAGGTTGGCACCAGGTGAACCTCTCTGGGGAGCACATGCCACAATCAGGTTACCACCACTGAAAAGGCCCTTCTCCTAGTAATAGCCCTCCTCACCTCTTTCAAGGAGGGCTCTTGGAGAAGGACCTCCACCAATGATCTTAAGATCCAGGCAGGAGTATGCAGAAGGAGACATTGCATTAGGACTTTTCGGATAATGGCCCTAAACAGTTCAGTACAACATCTTAGGGTACAACAGCACATTAATTCCAAAGCGTAAAATGCAAAGTAAACAAGGCTCCTAAAATAACGTAGGTTGCAGGAAGGCTTAAGAAGTCCATGCACACTGGCCTAGATATGCCATACATTTCACTATGGGTCCAAAAAATCAGGAGAACAATCTTCTGTGGCTTACAGAAAGAATAGCTCACCTTAAGCAGGAAGCAAAGGTCAAGCTACAATGGAAACCAGAAAGGTCAACATAATGGGAGAAACATTAAAGAGGAAAGCTGAGTCCAGAAGCATAAAAGACTCCCTAGTCAAGATGTGGACATTAAAACCCCAGGTCAGGAATCTGTGGCCCTCAGACTACAAATGTGGGGATGCCCAGATATCTTGGGTGACTTTCTCCCAAGGAGGTGGAGAGACTACTTAACCCTTTTCACTCTTGCCTTCTCATCCAAAATTTCCAACCCCATGCTGCTTTGCTACACTGCCCACCAGTGGAAGCAACACTTTGGGAAGGGAGAAAACCGTAAGAATGGGAATACTCTCTGACCATATGCTGCTGCTGGATCACCATCAAGGAATGTACCAGCAAAAAATCCATTTGTACAATTACTCTTGGTATGTCAGCTACACCCCTTCATGAATCAGTCAACAGTTACACATGCCCTGCTTACAGTACATCCAGACTATGGCAACACACTCTCTATGGGGCTCCTCCTGAATAGTGTTCAGAAGTAATGAGCTGCTATCCACTGCACAGGATTAAAACCATAATAAATCTGCCTTGAAAGATCTGCATTGGTTGCCAATTGCTTTCTAGGCTCAATCCAAGCTATTGGTATTAATCTTCAAAGGCAAAATGACTTAGGGCAGTGGTGGCGAATCTATGGCATGCGTGCCACAGTGGGCACGCAGAGCCCTCTCTGTTGGCACATGAGCCAAGTCCCCCCAGCATCGCCCCAGCAGCCAAGCATCGGATAACAGCGCACACAGAGGCCATATGCATGCTCAGAAAGGAGCAGCAGTGCCAGCCGATGACATCATGCACTGCGACTCATTAGCCACAACTCGTCCGAGCTTTCGCATAGCCAGTCAGTGCACTGCCAAGGATGTATATAAATTTGCTTGGACTGGCTGTGAGTTGTTTTTTCTAGTTTTTCTCAGTTTTCAGGTTTTATTGTAGTATTGGCATTTCGCAATAAATAAGTGGGTTTTGGGTTGCAGTTTAGGCACTCGGTCTCTAAAAGGTTCACCATCACTGCATTAGGGTTAGAAAAACAAGGTGTCCTGGAATGATTCTGATGGTTGGAATGTGTTCAGAATGGGCAGAAATGATGAGCTCTGCAGAAAAAACTACTCAAGGAAGGCTTTTAGAAAATCGCCCTCTTTTCAATGGAACATTCACCCTCTATTAGGGTTAGGTGTATGCACCAGGGTAGGGTTAGGCTTAGAAAAATGAGGTGTCCTGGCATGATTTTGATGGTTGGAATGTGTTTAGAAGAAGGGGTAGAAATGATGAGCTGTGCAGAAACAGCTACTCAAGGAAGGCTTTTTCAAAATCCCTCTCTTTTCAATAGAACTGTAGCCCTATATTAGGGTTAGGGGAGTGCACCAGGGTAGGGTTAGTGCAGTCATGTTGAACCTATGGCACGCGTGCTACAGCAGGCACACAGAGCCCCCTCCATCAGCACCTCAGCCAAGTCACCCCAGCATCACCCCAGCAGCCAAGTATCAGATAACAACACACATAGGAGCCATGCACATGCTCAGAAAGGAGTGGCGGCGCCAGGCGATGATGTCACAAGTCACGACTCATTTCCCGCGACTTGTCTGAGCTTACATAGGGCCAGTCAGTGCGCTGCCAAGGATTTGCTTGGATTGGCTGTGAGGTGTTTTTTCTAAACTAAAACCTCAGATTTCAGGTTTTATTATAGTGTTGGCACTTTGCAATAAATCAGTGGGTTTTGGGTTGCAGTTTGGGCACTCGGTCTCTAAAAGGTTCACTATCACTGGCTTAGGGGGTCTGGCTTTCCAAGGAATTATTATTATTATTATTATTATTATTATTATTATTATTATTATTATAACATTTCTATGCCGCCCCTTGCCGAAACCTCGGGGCGGCTTACAACATGATAAAATACATTGAAATACAATAGTACATCACCTCTCCCATTATGAACCTGCCTGGTTATGAAGATCAGCAAGAGAGGTTCTTTCGTGGTCACCCTTATCCAGAAAGACCTATTTGTCAGGCTTCCATGAATGGGCTTTCTCCTGTGTCACTCCCCAAATGTGTCCCTGTTTGACTTTTACAAAGGTTTGATGACATCATTTTAATCTACATTTTAAATGTCCTAATATTTTAGTATTTTACTGTTTTATTGTTATTGTTTTGAAATCATCTTAATTTTTGTTTTTACACATACATACATAAATGGGAAAACAGTGACAGAAAAGGGCTACGAAGTGTAGCTGAACCAAAATGCTGTGCCAAAAAAACCTGAATTCTGCATTCTGGATAAACTACACAAATAAAGTCAGCTTTCACAGATTTTCTTAATATGCAAGGGAAGCAAAGCGTGTTCCTCAGAGAACCAAAGCAACCATTACCAAATTCCCAATCAGAGATTTTATTGTAATGTCCTTTTTCATTAAAATAAAGGGAGAATCTCAGGATATCGATTTCTGTGGCCAATATCAAATTCCATCCTCTTATTGAATTTTCTAAATTTCATCCATCCATGAAAACATCCATCAGTTCATGAATAGTTACCAAAGAGACTATGAAGAGGCAAGAAAACAAGATTTGGTTCCCTTTAAGACATTCCTGTGATGCGCACATATGTCCACAAATACGTAATAATTCATTTACCTCCTGTCCTGACAGGTAATAGGCTGCAAGCAAACCACCGATGAAACGGATGTTGACTTCAAAGACAGATACCTCTGAATTCTTAGAAGAGAAAAAGGGGAAAGTCTGTAAGATAGAGGCTAGTACAGTGTATCCACATTTAGCACACATTCTTATGGCCTTCTGTATGCACATAGCAGGATGGTACCGATTTTGAATCAGTGATATATAGCAAATGGATAGGCAAATTAATACCAGAACCTTCTGGCTGAGAGCCAGCAAATGTAATAGTAAATCTGAATCACCTCATGAAGAGCAGAAGCCCAAAATATTTCTGAAAACAATCATGGGAAGAGCAGGTTGCTTACCTGTAACTGATGCTCTTCGAGTGGCCATCTGTGCAGTCACACATATGGGTGCTGCGCCTGCGCAGTGCCTTTGGCCGGAAAGATTAACAGCTAACGGTTTTTGGCGGGAACTCCGCTCCCCCTCCCCCCTAGCATTATATAAGGAGCGGAGTGTCCGCCATTTTCCAGTCTTTGAAAGACCGACGTTCGCTCTCTTAATAAAGTTATTGTCATAATGGCAAAAAAGCCAAAAATCTCAGTGGTACGACACATATCTAAAGAGATCCTAGCATCGAAGAGAAGGAAGTCGGACCACCCATGACACCAAGCGGGGTCGGAGGGTGGGTTGTGTGACTGCACAGATGGCCACTCGAAGAACATCAGTTACAGGTAAGCAACCTGCTCTTCTTCGTCGTGGCCTCTGTGCATCACACACATGGGTAGAATAACAAGCTTACCCAGACTTGGAGGAGGGAGGTGTCATCAGCGAAGAATAGAAGAGAGGACAGCCCTGCCAAACGAGCAGTCTTGTCTGGCGCAGCATCAAGTCTGTAGTGTCTGGCAAAGGTACACGGGGTAGCCCAAGTGGCAGCTCTGCAAACATCTTCCATCGGAACTCCCGATGCAAAAGCCAAAGCAGCAGCCACAGCCCTTGTAGAATGAGCTCTTGGAGTAGATGGTAAGTCCAATTTAGCCAATTGGTAAGACAGCGCAATTGTGTGCACTATCCATTTGGAAAGTCGTTGTGAAGTGACCGGATAGCCCCGGTCGTGTTCCGAGTATTTAACAAAAAGTCTATTGGAGTGTTGAACAGATTCAGTCCTAGACCTATAAAAGGCTAAGCAACAACAAACATCCAGCATATGCAGGGATCTCTTTATCGGATTCAAAGGACCTGGAAAGAACGCTGGCAAAACGATCTCCTGCTGCATGTGAAATGAGGTAGCAATTTTTGGAAGAAAAGACGGATCCAGCTGTAGAACTACCTTTTCCTTATGAAAATTCAAAAAAGGAGGGTCTACCTTAAGGGTGCAAAGTTCAGATGATCTACAGGCTGAAGTAATAGCTACTAGGAAAGCAGTCTTCCATGAGACAAGGCGTAAATCGATTGTCGCCATGGGTTCGAAAGGTGGTCGGGTCAGTGCCTGCAAAACCACTGAAAGACACCAAGTGGGCATTAAAGGCCTTATTGTCGGATGGAGGTTACCCAATCCTCTCAAAAATCTTTTAATCAGAGGTTGAGAAAAAATAGAGAAACCTTGAACAGTTCCACAGTAGTGAGAAATTGCTGCTGTATATACTTTTATAGAAGAAGGTTTTAGTCCAGACTGGTGCAATTCGAAGAGGAATTGAAGAATCTGCTGAATCGACGCCGATGACGCCGGAAATGAGTGAGACTCGGCAAAGCGGGAGAATCTACGCCATTTCGCTGCATATGACTTCCTAGTGGACGGTCTTAATGCAGTTTCGAGAATATATAGCAGATCTGGATGTAAAGTCTGTGGAGTAGAGGTAGTGGGGCTCGCTGGTGGCATCGACACTGGTGCAGTACATACAGTTATCAGATCCTCCAGGCAGTCAATTTCAGTGACAATGGGTCTGGGTGTCGTATCGTGCCTCTCTCCTGAGTAATGAGATAAGGAAGGAGAGGGAGCTGAAGAAAATCTTCCCGAGAGATGTGAAAGAGAGTTGAGAACCATGGTTGGTGCGACCACCATGGGGTTATCAGTAGCCCTGTGGCCCCTTCGTGAATAATCTTTGCCAACACTCTCATGATGAGGGGGATCGGCGGGAAAGCGTAAAAAGTCAGGTTGGTCCAGGAGATCATGAAGGCGTCCCCGGATGACCCCTGTCCTATCCCCGCTCTGGAGCAATAGTTCATGCACACCCTGTTCTGTCGGGTGGCAAACAGGTATATGTCCGGTGGACCCGAGAGGCGGAACAGTCTGCCGCGAACCCGATGGTCCAGTTCCCATCCGTGTGACCGCGACATATGTCTGCTCAAGAGGTCTGTCTCTACATTGTCCATGCCTGCAAGATGTACTGCTAGAAGAGTGATACCTCTCGGTATGCACCAGTCCCAAATTTTGATGGACAGACAGGTTAGTTTCGGGGACCGGGTTCCCCCTTGTTTGTTCAGATAAAAGACCGTAGCCATGTTGTCCGAAGTTACCTGGACAACCTAATGAAGAAGCACATCTTCGAACGATTGCAGGGCTTTGAAAAGAGCAAGAAGTTCCAGAAAGTTGATGTGGTTCCTGGAATCCCTGGGACTCCACATCCCTTGGGTACGTAGTCCAGAGCAAATGGCTACCCATCCGAGAAGAGACGCGTCGGTACCGAGAGTCACTGTAGGGTACCAAGGCCGAAACGGAACACCAACATTCAAACTGGCTGGTTCTGTCCACTATGACAGGGACTGAAGAACGGAGGCCGGGAGCTGAATCCGTTTGGTAGGTGGATCTCTGTGTGGTCGGAACATTCTGTTGAAGAATAACTGAAGAGGATGCAGTCTGAGTCTGGCATGTGGAACCACAGCGATGGATGCAGCCATGTGTCCCAACAGGCTTTGGATAGATCGGGCAGGAACAGTCCTTTCTCGTCGAATCCGAGAGATGCACTGAGCGATGGCGTGAATCCAGCCGGGCTCCAATAAAGTTGATCGTCTGTGCAGGGATAAGAGAAGACTTCTGTTGATTTAATGCAGAGTCCAAGGTCTTGTAAAAGAGCACAAGTAATATCAACGGCAGACAAAAGTCCTGCCCTAGTGTCGGAAACCAACAACCAATCATCAAGGTACAGATATATCCGAATTCCACGTAGTCGAAGCTGTGCGCAAACAGGAGCCATACACTTCGTAAAAACTCTTGGTGCAGTGGCCAATCCAAACGGTAACACCTTGAATTCATAGATCTCAGAGCCTACCACGAAATGAAGGAATTGCCTATGACGTGGATGTATTGAAATATGAAAATAGGCATCTTTCAAGTCCAACAAGGCAAACCAATCCCCTCTCCCCAGCAACGGAAGTATATTTTGGAGCATGGTCATCCGAAACTTCTTTGGTGTTATGAATTTATTGAGAGCTCTCAAGTCCAATATGGGTCGGAGACCCCCATCTCATTTTGGGACTGTAAAATATTTAGAATAGAATCCATGGAGTCCGTCTGACAACGATAAGCAACGAACAGCTCCCTTAGTAAGGAGTTGGTGAATTTCATCCAATAGTACCGAGGAGGCCGGTGTAAAACAGATAAAATTTGATGACAGAACAACGTCGAATACAATTCTATAGCCATGCTGGATAATGGATAACACCCATCCATCAGATGTAATGGACTCCCAATGGGAAGGTGACTATTCAGTCGGTCCGCAAATGAGAGAGGGGAGGGTGAGGTTGAGAGGAGAGGAAAGGCTCGCACATCCCATCAGCGCTGTCGCCGATCTGTGTCAAAATGACGGCGGCCCTGGTGGAAATGCTGGGACGGTTGCTGTCTGCGGCGCTGTTGGCGTTGATGTGGTTGTTGTTGCCAAGGTTGGAATTGTTGGTGGTATTGCGGATGTGACCATGACCACTTACATCGGGGCTGGGACTGCAGTTCCATATGCCGGGCCATCATTCTGGATTCATGGATCTTTTTCAGTTTACTGTCCGTCCTCGCATTGAAGAGACCGGATCCGTCGAACGGCATCTCCTCAATTCCCCGCTTCATCTCTTCAGGAAAATTACAATTACGCAGCCAGGCATGTCTGCGGAGGGAAATGGCACCGACGAGCGACCTCGAATCAGAATCAACGTGGTGCCTCGCTGTGGAAAGCTGTTGCACCACCACTTGCATAGCTTCCTTAACAAAAGTTTTCGCAACTCACCCTGGTTGCCTGGGAAGGTGTTAATGATGGTATCTAGGCGCTGCATAAGGAAGTATTGATAGAGCGCCAGGGCCGCCTCATAATTTGAAATTCGTAATCTGAGACCTAAAGCAGCGTACACCCGGCGGGTGAGGAAGTCAACTTTTCTTCCTTCCTTAGCACAAGGCGAAGTGTGTCCACGTGCTTCCTGGCCCTTCCTGGCCCTGATTCACAACAACCGAATTCGGCTTGGGGTGACGGAGGAGGAAAGGGATGTCCTCCTCACGAACCCGATACATGGATTCGTATTTACGTGAAGTCGGTTGTGGGTGGGCCGAGAGGTCCCATGGTTGAGTCATTGCCTGCCTCAGAGTCGTTATGAGTGGTAAGGCAATGGAGGTGGATCTTTTGCCCCTGACTACATCATAAAAACGGTCAGTGCTCGGCCCTGGTTGTTGGTGGGCCTCAATGTCGAGTGACCTCACCAGTCTGCCCATTAGCTCGTTGAAAGAGATATACGGTTCTTCAGGTGACCCTGGGCCTTGAGAAGTAACTCCTGCATCTGGCGAGGTCGAGTCAACCTCCGACTCATCAGATTCCATCCAGTAAGTGGGTGGAGCACTGGAAGAGGAATCTCCTGGCAACTCTGATCTGCCGCTTTCTCTAGATGGAATCCTCGGGATGTCCCTTGGTGTAGAATGGAAACGATCCCGAGGAGGTGGCGGCGAAGATTGTCCTCTGGAAACTGGGTAATAGGCCACGGATTGGTACTCTTCCCGTCTCGGAGTGGAGGAGTAGCGGGACTGGTACCAGTCATCAGATCTAGCATCCAAAGAGCGGCTCCTGCGGCTTCTCGGAGGAGAGATGGCGATGTTGGTATCCAGAGGGACAGGTAGCATTGGTGTAGGCAACCAAGGTCTCGGCAGGGAATCTCTTATCTCCCCATCCGAGATGGAACCACGCCGTGGATCCTGAAGAGGTTCGGCTACCAGTCGGCGTGGGGAGGCTGGTGGAGTAACCCTCATAGCTGCCAGGATGGTCAGGACCAAGGGGGTCAGTTCCGTGGCTGGAGTTGGGATCAAGGAGGCCGCCGAACCCGAGTGGCGATGTTTTGCATGCTCGGGATTCCTCGATTTCTTGACCAGCTTGCCCGCCTTATCTTTCTTGGCCTTCTTATGCACAGGATGCTTGTCCGGATCACTGTGCTTTCATTTCTCCTTTTGTTTCCTTGGAAGGGAAACGGGCTGATCAGCCATGCTGGAAGCACCTTCTTCCGAAGGGCGTGAGGGCGGAGCAATGGAGGAAGAGGCCGGGCGTTGCGGCAGATCGGCTTGAGTTGGGCAGCCTTCGGGTGGAGCCACTGTAGGGGCTTAGCCACCAGCCGGTCTGATTGGAGGAGAGCCTGGTCTCACAAGAGCTTGCGGAGGCGGTTCTCCCGATTCTTCCTCGCCTGTTTGGAAAAAGCCAAACAGTGGCCGCATTTTTCTGTCCTGTGCCCTTCCCCCAGGCAGAGGCAGCACAAGTCATGCGGGTCCGCGGCGGGCATTTTGGAGCTGCACTTTCCGCACTTGTGGAATGCCGCTCGTTGCACCATCGTAGAAAAATGAAGAAGATAGAAAAGCAGGAGAATAATATTTTGGGGGGTTTTTTTATAGGAACAAGAGAGAGTAAGTGAAAAAGCAAGAAGAGTGAAATACTAACAGGAACAAGGGAATACTAACTTGTTAAGAAAAGAGAAATTTTTCAACAAGCGAGAAGGTAAGTAATGATCTAGGTGAGAGCAAAGCGGCACGAGGCACAATGAACAGCGGTCGCAAAGACTGGAAAGTAGTGGACACTCCGCTCCTTATATAATGCTAGGAGGGAGGGGGAGCGGAGTTCCTGCCAAAAACCGTTAGCTGTTCATCTTTCCGGCCAAAGGCACTGCACAGGCACAGAACCCATATGTGTGATGCACAGAGGCCACGACGAAGGAGGAGGCATTGTCCTCATTTGGATGTAACAATAAAGCATGGTGTATTGTTACTAGAAGGAGTTACAGCAAATCTCAACCCCTCTCCTGTGCAGCTTGGAATTAGGAATTTTTGTTTTCATTGCAGATAAGTTAAGCATTAAGTCTGAACCTAGGCAGACTGCAGTTAGTCTTACTAAGAGCTAGTTACAACATGCCAACACCAAAGCCGAATTTACAACGCTGGTTCATTTTAACTAATCCTAGTTAAGATTAACCATAGTTTACAGTTTGGAAAGTACACTAACTATGGTTAATTGAAATCAAAAGTAAACAGGTCCTGATTGGAGCAGTGATGGATAGACAAGATGGGTTCTGCTATGCAGGACCCTAGCATACAATGTATGGTAAGCCTGACTGTCTGTCTGTGAGTAGTCCATCCTTTGTAGCTTAGTTTGGGCACACGCATCTGCAAAAAGAAGTTCTACTTACCACACTGAAATCAAGGTGATTGTCAATCCATTCCTGGCCTTCTCTGAATTCATCATGAAGGCCCATAATATAAAGAGTATCCAGTGCGTCTACTATGGTAGCACCTAGCTGTGAATTTCCTACAGGTGAAAATAAGGAATTTCATTATATATGTTTCACTTATTGTCATCTTCTCTTCCAATGTCATCGCTATTTATTTCTAAATTATAGTACCAGTACACACAGGGGCCCATTCCACAGTTTGGGAGTGTCACAAGCATCACAGGATAACAACCTTTCATGCATACCTGAGAAACAGGCCTCTGTGGGTATGGGTTTCCTCAACAGGGACTCTGCTTCATATCTTAATAGTTGGAACAGATTCTTAATGAGACAGACAGTCACAAGCATCACAGGATAACAACCTTTCATGCATACCTGAGAAACAGGCCTCTGTGGGTATGGGTTTCCTCAACAGGGACTCTGCTTCATATCTTAATAGTTGGAACAGATTCTTAATGAGACAGGCAGTCTCTTAGATATCCATATCTTAAGCTGTTTAGAACTTTAAAGGTTAAAAACAATACTTTGAGTTGAGTTTGGGAAACAAATGACAACCAGTAAATGTCTTTCAAGGCAGGAGTAATATAGTTCCAACACTATGATTTGATTAGCAGCCTTTCTTCTTGACTACAAACTGTGACTGGTACAGGGGCAACAAGCCAGGATCCCCATCAGACAACAAGCTAAAGAAACCACTTCTACATGGAGGAACGGGCTATGTGCAAAGGTATGCAGCTTGTTCTTGGCAATCCAGGATTACCCAAACTTCTAGTTACTGTTCTATGGCAATGTGGTCAGTGACATGTTCAGCCTCCCCATGCAACCAAAATCCTGTTGTGGATAATATTATATGCTATGTGTGTCCAAACTTATGACATTCTCACATTTGAGTGTTTAGGCAATACTATATTCACATCTTTCTTCCATCCTTCCGTCCGTCCGTCCTTGGATTTATATCCCAGCATTTTTCTTTTAACCAATTCAAAGTGGCTTACATCATTCTCCTCCACCTGCTCTCAATCTTATCCCAACAACCCTGTGTTTGTCTTGCCTAAGCGTCTGTGACTGGCCCAAAGTCACCCAGTTGGCTCCATGCCTGAGTGAGGACTGGAACCCAGATTGCCTGAATTCCAGTCCTACGCTCTTAAACTCTACACTACACTGGTCCTAATCATGAAATCTATATTGTTATTTTCAAAATGTCAAGATTCATCCTATGATTTGTAGCTACAGGAAAGTTGTTGTACTACACGAACTGCCATACATCTTGCTTAGATATGATTTAGCAATAATGTCAGTTTTATTCCCCCAAAAGTTTATCACAAAACATGGTTAAAATATACCACTCTTTATGCTTAGTATAAGTAGCTAATTTTTATTTTTATATTAACAATGTACTTTATCTAAAATATTAAATAAAAGCTGTAAGTTAAAAGAGTGGAGGAAATGCACAATATATGAAATAACCATTGGGACGTTTTTGCTGTTGTTGCTGAGACAAAGGAAATACCGGTGAAAATGGAGGATTGTTTTGTGTATTCCTCATTTACTTAACAGTAGTTGCTCAGATAAATGACAAATAAATTTAAATAAACTCCTGTTCTCTAAGTTCCAGCTATCAGCACTGTAAGCATCTCTGCACACAATTCTACCAAAATCGTTAAACTAGCAGTGAGCCAAAAGAGAGCTAGAGAAGTATTTCATCTCCTATGAAATAAGCCTCTTCTTTCCCGTATTGTTTTCCTACTCCTTTGAGCGACGGTACAAAACTGTTCACAAGCAGGTAGAAGAGGGAATGTCCCATCTCCCACAAGCAACAGGGTCAAGCTGCTTTGACCCTGGGCTACACATCCAAACACACACTTTACTAAAAGAAGAGTGCACTTGGCTACACACGAAAATATGGGAGGCACACTCCTGTGATACATTACTTTCAGTGGGAATCACATCTCAATATGTGAGGGTTTCTGCCTAGTTGCCTTGGCAATAGGGAAGAATCACATGCACCCTGCTCAGCAGCAGATCAGCAAACAACAGGTACAAGCAAGTGCAAAAAATGTGAAGGAGTTGGAAGAACACAGGGTTTCTTCATAAATATTTATATGCCCCTAGAAATAGTAACTTTCACAGCAAAAATAGAATCTCATGAATGTTAGACACAGTTTTACTCTTTTAAAAGGTAGTACTTTATTAAGGCATAAATTACTGTTGACATAGCAATAACAGTTTGCTATGTATGTTTATCATTAGAACACTGCTACAATTCTAATTTAACAATACAAAACCCAACTTTCTCACTAGCAATCACCAAACACATCTTGGCAAAACACTGAATTGGGGGGCAGGGGGAGAGGGAAAGAGAAAGGGAAGCACTCCTCCAAGTGCAGGGCATTAGAAAGAGAGGAAGAAAAGTAGATGTAGAAGAAAGGTAACATGGAAGATGAAGGCAGACAGGAGTCACTGTGGTGTAGAGTCAGGTATATTTCAGAGGCAGTGTTCTAGTTTATTCCATTCCCCATTTCAGAAATGAGAGACTCAGAAGGCCTAGCTTTCAGTCCTCAGCCCACAGCTATATGTTAGACATGGCTACAGAGTGAAACTGCTTTCTAATGGGCACTACCTCATTAAGGGTTGTTGGGGGAATGGAGCTTCTACTAGTTGCCAGGGGACAATTCTGATTTGCATGGGAAACTGGTGAATTGCAAGCCTGTGTTGGCTAATGTTGACGAAAGGTCCTACAGTTCCTTGACCTCATTATTCATGATGACCTTCCAATAGTACATTCTCTTTGTATTCCTCCACCAAAAATTCCTCCACTTTACCCTCAAAAATTTTGCTGTATCCCACTGTAATATCAAAACAATAAATATTTGACATTATATTGGAAGAAGATACTGATGAAATGAAATGCCTGTATCTCAGCTGTTTCTGCAGGAGTAACTAGAATTAAGCAAAACATTAAATTACAAAAGCAGTAATACCATTGCACTGCCAAAGGGCAATTCTGCCTCCAGTTCCACAGAGGAGGATTAGACCCACTACTAACAAACAACATCAGTCAAGGGCCAAAAAAAGATGAAGTCTTTAGTCTAGCAGACAAGGGTGGGTTTTGTCTCCATGGCTAGGAAGTTGAGTTATTATGTAACAAACAAGCTTGAAAGTTATATCCATGGTGAGGGTGTAAGGTTACAGGAAGAGCTTACCATGTAGCAGGCAGAGTTTAGGACTCATGGCCTAAGCTTCATACTTAAAGGAAATAAGGGACTGACTCCCTTTTAGAAGAAGAGAACGAAGCAGTACTTGATGACTGTTTCTAGCAAGGATGAAGGAAAACTATGGAATGCCTAGGATAAAAGCGTATTTGCTAGCCAGTTTGTTCCTGTCCTTTATTCTACCTGTACTTGCTCAGAATCCAGGAATCATCCACATCAGTCCAGAAAAAGGAGGGGATTACTGCTTCCTCTTCCCTTCACAATGGATGAGATCTTATCAGGGAGAGAGCAAAAACCACTGGCTCAGCCTTGAGCGGTCGACTCAGAATCTCACTTACTCTGCCATGTGCTGCCTGCCTTCATTCTTTGGAGAGGATGACAATGATGGTGGTGGATTAAGCACAAGAATTGCATCTGTGCGGGAAGGCAACTGCAATCTCTATGAGAATGCCAGACTCCATCAAATTAATGGGACACAGGGACTATTGACTCTCGGTGGAGATGCTCCATATCCCATTAGAAGTCGGCAATCTGGATACAACTGGGGTCACTGTGAGGAGATTACTATCCCAGGGGTTCTGCTCAGTGATCTGGGCATTCTCTACTTACTTCTCAAGAAATTGTTCGTGGACTCGCTATGCAAAAGTGGGATCATCTATTTGATGTCAATGGGCATAGTCATTATAGGAAGCTACTGGGCAGGAAGCACAGAGAAACAGAAGCAACAATGTATCAAAAACAGAAAAGAAGGTTTTGGTGAGATAACAGTTGATACCAATATCTACTTCACGTGTATTTGTGCAGTGATGGTTTCCTTCATGCTTCTTGCTCTCTACTCTTTCTATGATTACCTGGTGCACGCAATGATTGGCATTTTCTGTCTATATGCATCTTTTAGCCTATACTGTTGTTTGGCTCCATTTATAAGCAAGCTCCCATTTGGAAAACACCTAATCCATTTTCCGTATTTTCACAAAGATCTAGAGGCCAAAACAATGCTTCTAGCAGTGCTGTGTATGTTTGTCAATGCAATCTGGGTTATCTTCAGAAATAAAGAGTGGAGCTGGATTTTGCAGGACATTTTAGGAATCTCCATTGGCATTTACATTCTCAAGACAGTCCACATGCCTACCTTAAGGAACTGTAGTTTGTTTCTGTTTGCTCATTTGTTTTATGATGTATTCTGTTTGTTCGTCACGCCTTTCCTAACCAAAACAGGAAGAAGTGTCACAGACATGACAGCTTTCAAGTCATCTGACTCTGAAGAGATCCCCTTTCTGTTGAAAGTACCAATACTACCCTCAGCATCAATCCTGGATGATAGCTCTTTTACTGCTGTAGGGCTTGGGGATATTGTACTTCCAGGCTTTCTAGTAGCATACTGCAACAGATTTGATATGCAAGTGAACTCTTCAGGGATCTATTTTCTAGCATCTACTCTGGCATACAGTTATGGCCTCATAGTTACTTTTCTTGCAGCATCATTTTTGCAAGCCAGTCAGTCAACCCTCCTTTACTTGGTGCCCTGTATACTCATCACTACCCTGGCTGTTGCTGCTTCTCGCAAAGAGGTGATCATTTTTTGGTCAGGTATGAGCTCTGCAGATGACCTATCTCAACCTTCTTTGCAAAATATGCTGAAGGATTCAGAGGGACAACTTGCTCAACAAGGAGGGAAAAAAACAAATTATGAACATCACATTCCAGAAGGAAGAACTTACTAGCAACAGCATATTCCCTGAAGAGTTATCTAACCTGATAACACATACTGAATTGATAATTAATTGCATGCCAAGTCATGAAAAGCAAGCCAGTCAACATGAGGATTATAAAAAATAAAAAGCTTGAAACGGAGTAACCGAATTTTGAGGAAATTAGGAAAAAGCACCTCACATGAGAATTGACTATGCAACTATCCAGGTTTTTCAGGTTGATCCAATACAAGTCCTTTAAACCTGAGCTGGGAAATAAAGCTACATTGTCACCCTCACTGTGGAATTTACTAATTTAGAATACACTGCACATCAGCCACTTATCCATAGAAGCCACTCCCTAATCATCTACTGATTATAACCAACGAACAGAACCCAAAATGAGACTATGCAGTCTTGCTTCTTAATGGCAGGGGGTCCCAGGAAATGAAACATATTTAGGACACAGTAATTCATTCAAGTATGTCTTACATGTAAATTCTTGACATTCATCCCAGAAGAAACAGTCAAGCTTAACATTTGGGGATATTGTAGGAAAGTCTTCCCTCAATCCTTGGCATTGGATAGCCTAACCTTCACTAACAGACATCCCACAAAGAGGTGCAAACTATTGATTGCACTATTGGGAATCAATTATATAACCTTTTCTGGAAGACATCTGGTACCTTATACAGTGGTACCTCGGCTCACGAACTTAATCCATTCCAGGACTTTGGTCACAACCCAAATTGGTTGTGAGCCAAGTCAAATTTCCCCATAATGTTCAATGTAAATAAGGTGAATCTGTTCTGCAAATATTTTTTTTAAATCACAAAAAACTGAAACAAAGAAACAAAGTACAGTAGAGAACACTAACCTAGGTGGGGCAGGGGGGTTTATTGTTTGGAGGGAGGGTCCAGATGATAATTGTATGATAGCGATTGTGCTGGGGGGAGGGGGAGATGGCCACGATCGCATTCACGATTGTGCTTGTGCAGGGAAGGCAGGTGCGATGGCAATCATGCTTGGGGTGGGGAGGTGGGTGCAATCATGCTCGGGGGGGAGACGGACGAGATGGCGATCGTGCTTGTGTGGCAACATGGGCGCAATCGTGGTTGTCACCCAATGTGGAGTTCGTGAACTGAGGCAAATTTTTTCGGAAATTTCTGTTTGTGACCTGATTTGGTCATGAACTGAGGCGTTAGTGAGCCAAGGTACCACTGTATATCTGTTGTGACCTGGTGAGGTCTCCAAGTCCTGACAGACATTGAAAAATTTTCTCAACGTCCACCCAGTTACTAAGTTAAAACTTTTATAAACTGGATTTATCCTATACCTGGCCTGTATATGTAACTATAAGTTTATTTATTTCCAATATTTATGTAATCCTGCACATCTAAACAGACTCTGGAGTGGTATATAACACAAAGATTAAAAAGATTAAAAGAATAAAACAATAGATTATTAAGAAAAAAACACAATCAATAAAATTTGACCCCTTTAAGGACAAAGTAATAACACTCAAGGCCCTTCAATACTGTATTTATAGTATTGAATAAATACTATAGTATAGTATAGAAAAAGGTTATTAATTCCCAAGCTATCATAACTTCTTCTTAGTAAGAGCAGCTGTAAAGTAACAACTTCATTAAATATTGTCTCCAGAAAAATCTGTAGGGTCAGCTCCAGAGAGTGGGGCTGAGGAATTGAGTACTAACTCCTTGGCAATTACTGTTATTGCATTACATTAATATTGTGCCTGAAGGAGTGTTGTCCATGGGGTCACGATGAGTCGGACACGACTTCGCAACTAACAACAACAATATTGTGCCTTCCTTCCTTTTGCAAGAAAACTAAGACAGCTTACAAGGTATTCCTCCTCTCTGTTTTATGTTCACAATAACCCTGTGGAATTGTTCCGGCTGAGCATTAATGACCAGAAAGGCACCCAGCAGGTCTCCTGGCCAAGTGAGGGCTAGAACCCCAATCACCGAAGTCCCAGTCTAGCAGTGTAACCACTACTCCATATTGTGCTGTGGGGTGCCACAGCACAATATTCCTGCCACCACTGTTTTCTTTAATATATGTGAAGCCACTGAGTATAGTTAATAGGGGATATGGGATTCAGTGTTCAGATGACACCCAACAATATTTCTCTGCTCATTTGAGTGAGGTGTAGCTGTGCATGGCGTGAAGCCAGGTGGGGGTTAACCAACTGAAACTGAATCCTGGTCAGATGATGGCTTTGTGGATAGTCAATTTCTGGATCTGAGGCATTAGGTAATTGTGGTGCTTTGGGATTAATTCCTGTCATTGGACTGGCAAATGACTTCAGCAAGAGCACCAGGATCAGCTATGACAGGGATTGCCTGGCTTCAGAGATCCATACCTTGGTAACCACAAGACCAGACTGTCATAAATGCAGTATGTGAGGCTGCCTTTGAGTATGGTTTGGGAGCTAGAGCCAGGGTATAAAAGAAGCAAACATTGCAAAATGAAGCAGTGAGATTCCTCAACAGCACTTTCTATCATGCATATATGATTCCTGTGCTGAAAACTGTGCAAATGACTTCCAGTTAGCTGACAAGCCATATTCACAGTGCTATTACGGTATTATAAAGCCTAAAACAGCTCAGCTTCAGGCTAAGATAGCACCTTCTCCCACACAGATTGCCCTGTCTTTTTATTTTGCCATTAAGTCCTGGTGAAGCAGAAGTTCCATAAGGTTGCGGAACAGAAGAAGGCTTTGTCCATAATGGCACCCTCTCCATGGAATGATCTCCCCATCACAATCAGGTGGACCCTAAGTGTGGCATGTTTAAACTAACAGCCAGGGCTTTTTTTTTTTTGGTCATAGAACGCACCGGAACAGTGTTCCAGCACCTTTTTTTGACGGATTTTTCCATGTGATTGTGAATCGCCCTGTCGGGCGTAGCAGGTCGGCAGCAAAAAGCATTAAAATAGTGCCTGGGGGCTGCGTGTGTGTTGGCGCTGCTCGGGAGGGTGCTGTTCGGCTCGGGACGCTGCTCAGCTTGGGATTGGTCGTGTGGTCGCACGCTCAGTGCTTACTGCCGTGACGACCATTATGTTTATGTGTGTGTAGAGTGACTGACTCCAAAAGGTGAGTTCCAGCACCTTTTTTTTTTTTTTTTTACAAAAAAAGCACTGCTAACAGCTAAGGATTGGGTTTGCACTTGAATTTCCCAGACTGTTACCACTGCTAGCAACCCTTGGATATATTTGTTTTGTTTTTGGAGACATCTCCTTTTTAAATGAAAAATATAAACATATTCTGAAACAAATACATAAAACATGGAGACCTTAATTTCCAAGGGACACCCCCCACACATTTTATTGTTACAGAAATAATGTGCATTCTAGGATAGATTCTATTTTATGATGTTTTTCTCATCAAGGATGTAGGTCAAAGCAGAGAAAGACAGATTTTAGATGGAAACAACACATGGCTTCTAAGAAAACAACATCCTTGCAGATAAATTTGACTGAGTATAGCCATATGCATGTTATGCATAAAGCTATGCAAGATTGCAAGAGGGCAATGTTACCTATTTCATATGGTTAGAGTTGCAGTTATAAAGATGACAGATTTAGCCATATCTTATTTCTCTTTTATTACCAGTTAACTTTGGCACCACAAATGTGTTTACATATAATTCAGTCAGAAATCAATAAATATGGAATTATAAAACTTCAAGGATTAGATCATAAATACTGTAACAAGGGAGGTCTAAAGAAGTACTCCCATGAAACAGGAAAAGATATGCTCATATATGGAGACTGACCAAAAAGGGAAGTTTGGACTAATAACGGTATAAAAAACAGACTTAAATGGAACCTGATATTTTTCATTACTTCTAATACTTGGTTTAGGATAGCAAAAGAATTGAAAATTTCTGGGGGGGGGGGCGTTGTGGTGGTGTTAGAACTTAAAGATTTCATTTCTCTTCTTATACTCAATTACTATATTAGAATGTGAATGTGCACCTCATTTTTCTGGTTTTGGAAATCATATTTTCTGGTTTTGGAAATCAAGAGTTATTCAAGAAGCAACTATTTGCTAGAAAAAATACTATCTTTGAAAAACGATTGATTTTGAGAGTGCGCAAAGAATTGCCTAAAGTATATAAAATATTAATGAACATTTTAAATACTTTGGACCTATCTTGTACCCCAGTACTTAACAAAAGAGGGAAAGAGAATTTAACACACCTATTATGTATATAGAGACTCTTAAAATGTTAGGCACAGACTCTAAATAAATTTTAATAAAAGGATCTACACACCTGATCAGATATCTAGTCTATTTGCAGCAGTTATGAATATGCATTGGAGATAAAAGAACAAGGACTTTTGTTCTTCTATATAGGACAGAACTGTAATCTGGCTAAGGACTATTGGAAAAAGATGCCAGGCAGCATCAGAGCTATTACAAACTATGAATTTGTAATTAATTCCAGCAGCTATCCTCTTAAGGATCTGATCCCTAGACTCTTTGTCATGATGGAGAGTTATAAACATCTGCAAATATTCTGCCAGCCAAAGGTTAACAATTTGTGCATACCACACAGAAAAAAGCTGATATGGATTCTTATGTTAAGAAATAAAATAGACAAACATTTCAAAAAATTAGACTATTAATTACAGGAACAAGCACAGCCTTGAGGATATGGCAATCTGGTTTATATTGCATGTGTGTTAAAGCATATGCACACATACCCAAATGGGTGACTTTTCATGGATATTTTTCGTTAATATGTTTCTTTAAAATTAAAGCACTGAAAATCATTAACACAAGGATTTTACCAAGCCCACAGGGTATCACATGCTTCATAGGGAAAGTCACCTGAAAAGAGTTAATTATGAAACCTCTCAATATGAATATTTTATCTATTCTTCATGTTGCTAATGAGTAACATGATGAGTGATAGAACTGATGAATTTTAGGAAAAGGGCATGTTTTTGTTTTTGCTTTGTAAATAACAAATAACAGCAGAACTTTGTCTGCCTGATGCTGCTACGTATGTCCTGCAGCAGGGCTGGAGAACCACTAACCTATGTGTTGCAGCCTTCCCTCCCGGGCCATCCTGCATGGTAGTCAGGGTTAGCCCCCAAAAGCTCTAATGTGCTGAAATGGGGCTCGCTGCTGCACGGGCTGTGGAGGAGGAAGGGGCTAATGCTTCTCTCCCTGTAAGCTGTCGCCTCCAAAAATTGCATGCTGCTTATTGTATCATTGTACTAAGATGCTTGGTATTGGACAGGATATAAATGGTTTAAATAAATAAATAAATAAATTTCACCCAGGTGCAATTGTGCATTCCTTTTCTAAGCTTAATTGCCAGTCTGGGAGAAGGTATTTTCAGCAGGAAGACAAAAGATGATCTACCACCAGCTCTGGTCTTGCCTTCTTAATCTGACCCTGTCTGTTACCTTCCCAAGATCTCCCACAAGAAAATGTGGCCCTCACTATACAAAGGTTTCCCTACCCTTGTTCTAGAGCACATGCTATGCTTATTTACAGCTTAATCTCCATATACTTTCTCTTGATTTTTTCAGGAATACAACAAAACCAGGTTGGTGATATGTCATATAATAATTGTTTTTATACTCTAAATGTTAATTCTGACAAAACCTATCCTAAAGGTGCAGAGCACAATTCTGCACATGTTTAACCACAACAAAGACCATTAAGTGGTTAAACCATGTTAAACCATTTAACTATTCAAGCTTCTTAGAACTGACATGCTCTACTCGTAAATGCTAAAGTTTTAATTATTTTAAGCAGGACAAATCTGTGGATATCCTATGCCTGTCCACTCATAAATGGAGGGCACACCACCTTTTATTGCCCGTTGAGGCGTGCCATCAGCTCAGTATGATTCAGACAGTATTATCTGTCTGCCACCAGCCTTATGACTCTTTCTGCATCCCCTGCCTGAGAACCTCATTCCCTTCATATTCCTTGTCATGAGTAAGACACACCATTCTGCCAAACAAAGATGAAAGCATATGTGGAAAGCTGTTGGACCTGACTTCCCAGAGCTGAGGCAGAAGTCTCAATAAAACTTTTTATTGCACTAATTAAGATCCACAATTAACAGATCAGCATGAAGTTTCTAGAAGAGCAGTGCGTGAACATCACAACAAAAGGCCCCAATTTTCCCTGCGTTCAGCACACAGAACAGGTCCTAGCACATTCATGGGGAAAGCAGGAAGCCTTCCCATGTTACCAATGTTTTGTTTCCAGCAAGATCTACCGCAAGTTGCTCCAGCTTAAGTACAAGGCAGTGGCCACTAAAGTTCACTATTGGGCATTTGATCCTGGCAAGAAAGCTTTGGTTCTCCAGTGGCTGTTGCACCTCACCAACTGCCTCTGCCTTTCCCTTGATAACAACAAAAGCCAACACACCACCCTCAACTGAAACACTCTCTCCTGCAAAGACCTGCTGCTGCTGTTCTGCTGCAATGGAAAATGCCCCTGGTCAAAACAAAAGGCTCTCTGTCAAGGTGTGGTCTCCCAGCTATGGAAGACGCCTCATATCCGTATTATGCACCAAACTCCTCCCAGCCTGTCAGCCAGTGGGAAGGCAGGTAGAACTGAGTTCTCAGGTGCCTGATTTTCCATGGCTCCACCTGACTCTACAGCTTCATCCTCTACAGCTTCACAGGCTGTAGCTCTCCCCACACTGAGACAAGGTCCCACAGGAGAGGTCAGAAGGCATTGTTGTAGAGCTCCAACCCAAATGACCACTCAGTCAAAATCATGTAGCTTGAGAGCTAAATTGTAGAAAGTTCAGGTGGTTGTGCTCTACCAAGATGCACTCCCCAACTTAGCTGGTGATTGACTTGAAAACTGAGCCCAAGAGTGCCCAAGAGAAAAAGTATCAGCATTTACCTAAAATGCTTCTGCTTTCCTCATTGAGAATTACAGTAAAATATGGGAGCTATGGAAGTTTCTCTTTGGACCAACTGAAGCTTTCATTTCTTAATATTCAGGCTGTGTGTGTGTGTGGGTGGGAGGAATAAATATTACTTAAGAATGACTTGCTTAAAGGGTCAGCACACTTCATCTTCCAAAGTTTTGACCATCTGTCTACCTGTGCACTGCACAAGTGCAAGGCCCCAAAAGGCTACAAAAACCCCGAAGGTGAGCTTATTAAAATTACACTGAACTGCTTGTTAACAGGACCGTAAATGGGTCAATAATTCTATTTCACCATACCATTTCAAGTTATGACAGTCTACAATGTAGCTTAGGTTGCAGAGTTATGCTATGGACCATATCTTGAGCAGGGGTTCAGGTCAAGTCAGTTTTTTCAGGAAGATGCCAGCATCATGAAATCTCCAAGCGGTGCTAGGACTAGTTAGATGGGGCTGTCTGTATGTTGGTTCAACAAGAAACAGGGCAAATAGAAATGTAGTGGCCTTTAGACTGGTTGGCCCCATTTCTATTCTGACTGAAGCTTGATCTCACTAATGTGACCTCTTCTGAATGTGGAAAAGCCAACTCCCCAGGGCTTTCTGGTGGACTGGGGTGGCAGAAGATTTGAGAAAGCTTTCTATGGTTGAACCATCTCCCTCAGCCATTAATTCTTCAGTCTTTGTCAAGGACAAGGGGTTGGAATCTCCTGAGGATTGACGTTAGAGTCCTGATCCATTACATGCACTTCATTATATACCAATAATTCAATGTTGTAAATAGTAGATGGGGAATTTTCAGAATAAATTACCTACCAAATATGTTGGTGGAATGTCCTTTCCTGGCAATGGGTTTCAGTTCATTATGTCCCCATCCATACTGCTTGTAATTATCCCAAGCATGTTTCATCATCTAAGGAACAAAAGCAAACTGAATTTAGATTAATTAACACAAATTAGTATTGATGTCTATAACCTGTCAATGTTTTAATCACAACTATTTGCTTTGGTTATTCATCCCACATATTCTTTCTTCCCAAGGGATAAGCAAGAAAGTATAAAATTTCTCTCAAGTTATTTTGAAAAGTCTGAACATATTTCTGATATAAGTGAATGGAGATTTATTGCAGCATATACTCAATTTCTTCCACTGGATTACAAGAAAAAATGCTAACAAAAAGTTTGTTGTTAAAATGCAGGTTATAAAGGAATTTATAAACCTGCAGAGTAATATTGACCCCTACTATTGTTTGTATCAAAATAAAGTGATGTATGATAATATATAAAATATAATATTGTTTTAACCCTTCTATGCTCTTTTCTCACAACACATGGAAAGAACAGATTCTTGTCTATGCAAACAGACATAAATAACATAAGTGACAGATACAAATACATTTAAACGGATTTTTGTGGGGTCACACTGACCTATAGCACTTTTTGCATATGATTTTTCAATTTCTTCAATAAGACATATTTAGCTACAAACATCACACAAACTACACTTAATTTTCACAAGATTTAGAAGGAAATCCCTTGAAACATCACATAGCAATTCACACCTCATCATACTGAAAAATACCCAGGGAATCGAATTAGAGAAGATTGACAGAAAAGTTATTATTTTTTTCAGTGCTGTCAATGCTTATTTGACCCTTCCTATCACAAAATTCTTCGGATTCCCTAGCAAATCATGCACTAAGTTGCATGCAGGAACCATGTATTACATTGCAACAATTATGTCACATGAATCTAATCCTTACTTTGCTCTGTAATTTATGTGGCACAGGACAAGTCGAAATCTACTGGTAGATCTGAGTAATCAAAAGTAGATCAGTAAGCATTTTTATTCCTATTTGTTTAACAAAGTCTAAATTACTCCCCTCCATTAATTACTGAAATGAAGAAAGTTGGAAAGGGATAACAAGATGGAAGTACAGTTGTGGCACTCAAAACACATTCCTAGGCTCAGAATTTTTTATTACCAAATGTATACCTTATCTCCCAGCTCCACCTGAAGAATTCTAAAGTTTTAAGCTCAGTTCCCTTCCCATACAAGATCCAGTGTAATTTAGAGTCAGTGTCAATACAGGCATACGCAAATCACATGATCTTAGGAAGCAAGCTCATTGCTGTAGTAACCAATATCCTAATCACAAAATCTTGCATTGTAATTAATGACCTCTGTAGATAACCTCTCATGATTATACAATGTCAATTATGAAAAATCTTATATAATCCATCTCTCTCCATATTGCTACTTTTGTCTCTCCAAGATACAGAATATCCATGAAATACATATTTTTCTTTTTTACCAATACTGTCCAAATTAATTCTGATTAAGTCATACTTAGATTGCTGTTATAGCCTGGGACCTAAAATCATTAAATTTATTTTCTAAATATAGCCCCATTGACAAATATGGAACTATACAAACCAGAATTAAGACAACAGGCCCTGCCTTATGGTACTTCTCATGTGAAAAGGTAAAGCAAGGAAGACAACAAAAGAAGAGGAGAAATTGGAGGGACAGGCACTGAATGGATATGAACAAATGTAGCAACATGTACTTAAGCCCTATTTCAACTGTGAATGGGGTGGAAGGCTTATGCCAAAAACAGGTTTAAAGGAAGATGGTTCTATGTAAGTATTCTAGTTGCAAATCTAGAGCAAGTGAGGTTGGAAGGAAGCATGTAAGAAACTGCAATGATTTTGGGGCAGCTGAGGGAAGTTAACATTGGAAAAATGCTGATCCTAGTAGTTAGGGTTAGATTAGATCCAAGGACAGAAAAGTTACGGTAGGCAACAATATTTTATATTGTATTTTTGTATTTTTAATTTAATGTTTATATTTATTGTAATTTATATTATAATTACTTTTAATTTATTGTTGTAAGCCGCCCCGAGCCTTCGGCGAATGGGGCGGCATAAAAATGTTTTAATAAATAAATAAATAAATCAGTAGACAGCAAGAAAAGCACAGGCAGGAAGCTTATCTTTCAAAGCGGGCTGAAATGGGGAGCTAGAGGAGGCATTTGAGGAGCTGTCTCACATGGCCAGAGTGTCTAGAGAAGTGAATGGTTTTGGCAGAAAAGTTCTGAACAAAGGTGACTGAAGTGTATCACGTGAAGGCCAGAGAACAGATTGCCATTAAGCAAGGTAGGCTATTACCAGAGCTTGAACTGCTAGGAGAGGTCATCTGGAGGTTGGGCTGAGGTGCCATCAGTACCCTGAGGGCACTCAGCTCTATCTCTTTTTTCATCTAATCCAGGTGAGGCAGTGACTGTTCTTAACCAGTGCCTAGGCTCAGTAATGGACTGGATATGGTCCAATAAGCTCAAGCCCAATCCTGGTAAAGCAGAGGTACTGTTAGTGGAAAGTCTGGGGAATTTTCAACCTGTCCCGGATGGGGTTGTGTTACTCCTAAAGGACAAGGTTCACAGCCTTGGTGCTCCTGGATCCCAAGCTGTCACTTATTTCTCAGGTGGTTTCATTAGCCAGGAGCACTTTTTACCAGCTGAGGCTGGTTTATGAGCTGTATCCCTACAAGGATGAGTGGAGCCTTGCTACAGTTATTCATGCACTGGTAACCTTGAGCATGGCTGACTGTAATGCACTCTATGTGGGGCCGCCTTTGAAAATGGTACAGATACTGCAACTAGTCCAGAATAGGGCTGAGCACCTGCTAACAAGTACTGGCCTTACAGGCTACATTGGCTGCCAGTTGCCATCAGACCCCAATTCAAAGTGCTTACAACAACAAACAAAGGCCTAAATAGGTTGGGGCCAGAATAGCTGAGGGAATGCCTCTCTCCATATATCCCAGCCTGATCTGTGAAATTGTCCTCTGAGACCCCTTTCCAAATCCTTCCCCCCAGTGAAGGGGGGGGGGTGGCTACGAGAAGAGTGTTTTCTGTAATAGCACCCCATTTGTGGAGTATGCTTCCAACAGAGATCTGCCAGGCAGCTTCTCTTTTCTCATTTAGATGATAACTGAAAACATTCCTTTTCCATAACCAGTTTGGTGAGTAAGTTAAGTTGGTTTTGCAACAGTTTATCACATTGGCGTTATTGCTGCTACTGCCATGGCAAAATTTTAGCTGCCACACTAAAATTTGTAAAGTTGTTTTCAACTGATTGTTTTAAATGGTTTTATTATTAAGTAATAATTTTGATTTTATTTTTATTGTTTTATTTTACTGATTTATCATATGATTTATACTGAATTGTTTTATTTATTGAATGTAATGCTAGCTGCCCAGAGAGCCTTATGGCAATGGGGTGTGGCATACAAGTGAAATAAATAAATAAGCAAACAAACCAACCAGTGTTTTGGCAGAAAGGCTGGTGAGAAAAGGGGGGATTTTGCCCTATGCTTTATAGGGGAAAGTACATGGCTTGAAACAGACTGCATATGAAACAAAAAGAGAAGGAAGTATCAGAACAATCTGTTGAATACAACTGATGTAGAACTAATTGTAGAACTACAATTGATGGTGGGCATGTCATGAGCGGAGCCAGCTGGTGCCGGAGGTCAGACTAGATGGCCCGGGAGACCCCTTCTGACTCGCTCTGTTTCTATGTTTCTAAAGTATATCTATTAGACACATCCTCCCTGGATTCCATCATGTTCAAGTTTCATCCTATTGATATACAAGTTAAAAATAAAAAACTATTTATTATTATTACAGTGCATTTACATCTTGTCTTTTTTCTCCCCTTGTGAGGAACCCAAGGCAATTTACATAGCTCTATTTGATCCTCACAACAACTTTTTGAGGTAGGTTTGGCTGAGAGCGAGTGACTGACCCAAAGTCATCCAGTGAGTTCAATGGTCAAGTGGGGACTAGAACCTGGATCTACCAGGTCCCCAGTCCAATACGGTAACCACCATGCTACTCTGGCTCTCATTCTACGTTACATCTACATTAAAACGTTTTAACAATGATTACACTTTGGGCACACAGTCCTGAGAGTTTTTAGAGACTGGAATTGCAATAAATGCCAAGTACAAAAAGGAAGCAACCACTACCTCTATTTCTCACAGAGACCTCACATGATGGGCAGGCAGCATTCTTTATGTCAAATGCCAATTTAGAGAAATCCTTCTTCAACTAAACATAAACACATCACCAAACATTCATTTTATACCAATTTAATTGTCACAGCTTTCAGCAAAGAGCCTAGTTCATTGTAGATCTCTTGTTCTCTTTCTCCGAACTCCAGCTCCCAGGATCCCTGGGGAGAATTGTAGCTATAGCCTACTTTTCAAAGTGGCTTATAACAATTACCGTCTATCACAACAATATAGTATAAGTGATAAAACATGGGATGTGTAGCAAGTAGAGAGAGGCATAAAGAGGAAAAATGTATGGAATCAGTTTCTACTGGTACTGCTGATGTGCTTTAGTTCTTAAAAATAAATCGCTAAGAACAAAAAGAGAAAATACCAATGCATTATATTAATTCAGTTGAGGTGTCCAACCTGCTCCAGTTACATCTAAGACAGAAGCAAAGGATCAAGCAGGAGGTGTCTTACAACTGCAATCAGGCCAGTGTGGTTCAGATGCAAGCCCACTGAAGCTGCACTAAACCTTACTTTTGGCAAGATAAAATGAGAGGTAGCCAGGAATTTACCTCTCTTGTCACCATATTTTGTGACCTCAGCAGTCACAGTTAAGCTCTTCACAATTCTTTACTAGCACTACCAAAGTGGCATATTTCTCGTAGCGTATGCTTAATTTTATGACAAATAAAACCAAGGGAAAAAAAGAAAATTGTTCATTTAAGTAGCACAAACACACTCCACCTGGAAGGCGGGACATGACAAATCAGCAGGAGAGAAGAATGGGCATGACTGCCATAAAATAGATGGTTTCTGAGAGCTTTATAGAAATAATCTTCATATTAGAAAATATCTCCAGGCAATAACAGATGACACAAACCATTAATTACCTCTTTAATTTTGTCTCTCTTTTCTCGGATGTTTGGATCCACTGGATCTCCACTGTTTATCCCCACAAGATTTGGCACTGGGACCGGTGGCAGAGGTTTGCTGCTTTTGTTCTTCAAGCCCTTGATTATCTTGTTCTTCTCAGTCTGAATTTCTGCTTGGATCTCATCCCGTGACTTCTTCAGTTTCTCTTTTGCTTCTTCTAGAGCTTTTTCATGGTCTGCACGAATTTTATTTCTCAAGAGCTCTTCTTCTTCTCTAAAAAACCAAACAGAAGGCTAATTTCTTAAAGGCAATTTGACAATTTTTGGAAAATGCTGGCAATCACTTAAGCATGGACTGATTTTACCTTGCTACTATAAAAAAGAGTCACTTATTCCAAGTATAACTGACAATGATTAACTAATACATTGATATTAGCAATAGATGTATGCTGATATATCTATTGGTCTTTGAATACTTATATACGTTACACAAAAGTGCAAGAAATAGTTTGTCCTGGAGTATTGTAGCCATTTTGGTGATTCAGTTTCCCTTTCCATTTATTCAGGAAAAGCAGGTTGCTTACCTGTAACTGATGTTCTTTGAGTGGCCATCTGTGCATTCACACATATGGGTGCAGCGCCTGCGCAGTGCCTAGGCCGGAAAGATTGAAAGCTAACAGTTTTGGCAGGAAAACTCCGCTCCCCTCCCCCTCAGCAGTATATATAGAGCGAAGTGTCTGCCATTTTCCCCAGTCTTGGGAGACCAAAGGTTCGCCACTTTCCAGAAAAGGATGACATGACAACCCGTTAGGTACCGTAGCAAGAACATACGGTACCGATGGCATAATAACTTACCAGGCACCGAAGCAAGAGCATACGGTACCGATGAAAGAAACCACTCACCAACACCGAGCGGGGCCGGCGGGTGGGTTGTGTGAATGCACAGATGGCCATTCGAAGAACATCAATTACAGGTAAGCAACCTGCTTTTCTTCATCATGGCCTCTGTGCATCACACATATGGGTAAGTAGCAAGCTTACCAGAATTGGTGGAGGGCAGTGTTGTCACTGAAGAACGGCAGAGAGGACAGCCCTCCCGAAGGAGCTGTCTCTTCTGGCATGCACATCAAGGTGGTAGTGCTTTGTGAAAGTACACGGAGTGGCCCAAGTCGCGACTTTGCAGACCTCTTGGATCGGGATACCCGTGGCAAATGCGGAGGAAGCTGCCACTGCTCTAGTGGAATGACCCCTCAGAACTACAGGTAAGTCCATCTTTGCAACCTGGTACGCCAACAAAACGGTCTGAACAATCCATTTCGACAGTCTCTGAGACGAAACAGGCAATCCTTGGTCCTGTTGAGAGTACTTCACAAATAGTCTATTAGAACGTCTAAGAGATTCTGTACGTGATCTGTAAAAAGCTAAGCAGCGTAATACATCCAAAGTATGCAAGGACCTTTCGATTGGGTTCGACGGCGACAGAAAGAAGGCAGGCAACACGATCTCTTGATTCAGATGGAACGGCGTGGCCACTTTAGGTAAAAAGGAAGGATCCATTCTCAGAACCACCTTCTCCTTATGAAAGCTAAGATAAGGTGGATCTATTCGAAGAGCACAAAGTTCACTGGTTCTACAAGCTGATGTAACTGCAACAAGAAAAGCCATCTTCCATGAAACGAGACACATATCGACAGTCGCTAGGGGTTCAAATGGTGGTCTTGTAAGTGCTTGAAGGACGACTGAAAGACTCCATGTGGGCATGACAGGCCGAATACAAGGATGAAGATTTTGCAGTCCTTTCAGAAATTTCCTTATAAGCGGTTGTGAAAACACCGACGATCCCTGTATTGTACCACGATAATGTGACACAGCAGCTGCACAGACCTTAATTGACGAAGGTTTAAGTCCCGAACGATGTAGTTGCAACAGAAACTGAAGAATATTCTCCACCGAAGCTGCCACTGGATTGAAGTGACTGCAAAAGATGAGAAGCAGCGCCACTTTGCTGCATAAGACTTCCGAGTTGATGATCTTAGTGCAGACTCGAGAATCCTTAAAACGTCTGGGTCTAAAGAGATCAGTCCCAACGGTACATCTATTGGTACCGAGGCAGTGAGGAGGTCCGATCGGTCATGAGCTGAAGTACCGAGCGACCTAGTAGATCTTAGTCCCGAAGCAGTGCTGTTAATCAACGAATTCGCCACGCTGTGAGATTCAATGAGGGCAGGTCTGGGTGACGGACAATGTCTTTTTGTTGAGTTAGCAGATCTTGTCTGGATGGAAAATGAAGGAAGGTGCTGTTCGAGATCCGAAGGAGAGTGGAAAAGCACGCTTGACGAGGCCACCAAGGTGTTATCAGTATTCCTGCGGCATCGTCATGTACGATCTTTGATACGTCTTTTGTCAGTAGGGGAATAGGTGGGAACGTGTAAATCCTGAAGTTTGTTCAAGGAATCATAAGGACGTCTCTCATCGATTCCAGTCCTATTCCCGCTCTGGAGCAGAATCTTTTGCGTACCCTGTTCCTGTGGGTGGCGAATAGGTATATGTCTGAATGTCCCCAAAGTCGGAATAATTGCGTGCAGACCTGGTGATTTAACTCCCATTCGTGGGTCAAGGACATGTGTCCGCTCAGAGTGTCGGCTTCCTCGTTGTCGGTCCCGGCAAGATGGACCGCTAGGAGGGTTATACCCCTCAGGATGCACCATTCCCAAATGTCCATGGACAGGTGGGCAAACTTTGTTCCACCCTGTTTGTTGATATAGAACACCACCACTACACTGTCAGACATAATCTGCACCACTTGTTGGCAGACAGTTTCCTCGAAGGACCGAAGTGCTTCGAAGATTGCTAAGAGCACAAGGTAATTGATGTGACTCGATGATTCCTGTCGGCTCCACATGCCCTGGGACCGAAGTCCTGAGCATACCGCGCCCCACCCGATCAGCGAAGCATCGGTATATAGGTGAGGGGCTTGGAACGGGTACCCACATTAAAGTTGATTGGGGTAGTCCACCAAGTCAACGTCGGTAGGACAGCACGAGGCATTCGAAGCGGTTTGTCAGGCAAATCTCGTGGATGAATGTTCTTGTTGAACCAAAGTTGAAGAGGACGGAACTTCAACCTGGCGTGTGGGACAATGGCAATGGTGGCAGCCATGTGACCCAAAAGTCTCTGACTCGAGAGCGCTGGGACAACGTTGTTCTGTCAGATCCGAGAAATACAGGAGCGGAGACTGTCCTGACGAGCTGCGGGGAGGAATGCCCTCGCTACCGTGGAATCAAGATGAGCTCCGATGAAATCTATCACCTGCATAGGGACATGGAATGATTTTTCGCAGTTAATACAAAGTCCTAGATTGTCCAACAGTGCACAAGTTACCTCAACAGCTGACAGGAGACTTTCGTGGGTCTGCGAAACTATAAGCCAGTCATCCAGGTAAGGATACACTTGGATGCCCTGAAGCCGTAGATGTGCACATACCGGGGCCATACATTTCGTGAAGACCCTTGGAACCGTGGCCAAACCGAACAGAAGGACATTGAATTTGTATATGTCGGTCCCGACGGTGAAACGTAGAAGATGTCTATGGGTTGGATGGATCAAAATATGAAAGTAGGCATCTTTCAGATCCAGTGAGGTGAACCAATCCTCTCTCCTCAGCAGCAGAAGGATATTTTGAAGGGTAGTCATCCGAAATTTCTTTGGTTTGATAAATCTGTTGATATTTCAGAGGTCCAAGATCGGACGAAGACCACCATCCCGTTTAAGGACCGTAAAATATCTAGAATAGAATCCATGAAGCCCATCGGAGCTAGAGAGTTGCCAAATCGCACCCTTACAAAGCAGTTGATGTACTTCGTCCACCAATACCAGGGAACGCAGTGTAAATTGAATCGGGCTCGACGAAGGAACAGTATCGAATTCTATTCTGTATCTGAGCTGTATGAAGGATAATACCCACCGATCAGATGTGATGGACTCCCAAATGGGGAGTCAGCCTTGCAGCCGTTCCCAAAAGGGAGGGGGAAAGGTGGGTGTGGAGGTGGAGGAGAGGTTCACCTGTCCCATCAGCGTTGACGCTTTTCCGTTTCGAAACAGTGACGGCCTTGTTGCAAACGCTGGTGGGGTTGTTGTCTCCTACGCTGAGGCTGCTGTTGATATTGTCTCTGCGGGGGCTGGTAGCGGTAGGATGAACGCGTCCATGTCCACTTACATTTTTGCTTTCCCAGCAATTCCATCCATCTTACTGTCATGCAGGATTCGTGGATGGACTTGAGCTTATGGTCCATCCGTGAATGAAAAAGCCCGGAGCCATCAAACAGCATTTCTTCTATTCGCTGCTTCATCTCATCAGGGAAGTTGCAATTCCTCAACCAGGCATGCCTGCGCAGTGAGATGGCCCCGACAAGAGCCCTCGAATCTGTATCCACATGACGACAGGCTGTGGATAGTTGCTGTATAGCCACCTGCATACCCTCCCTTGATGAAAGTCCTAGCCAAATCCTGTTGTTGTTCCGGCAGGGGGGTGACGATGTTATTCAGCCTCTGCATAATAAAGAATTGATACCTGGCCAGGGTGGCTTCGTAATTAGACATACGAAGACCATGTCCTGCAGCAGCATAGACCCTGCGTGCCAAGGTATCAATCTTGCGGCCCTCCTTATCTTGGGGGGTGGTATGTCCCCTGGATTCCCTGCCTTGGGATGATTCAACCACCACGGAATTTAGCTTGGGATGATGAAGCAAGAAGGGTATATCACTCTCCCAGACCCGATACATGGATTCGTATCTTCTCACTGTGGGCTGAGTCTGCGAAGGCAAGTTCCAAGGCTGAGTCATCGCCTGCCGCAGCATTGTAATTAGCGGCAGGACAACTGCAGGTGATTGCTCTCCCCTGACAATGTCATAGAACTTGTCGGTGCTCGGATCTGGCTGGTGTTGTGCCTCGATCTCGAGCAACTGAACAAGTCTAGCCATGAGCTCTCTGAATGAGATGTGGGGCTCTTCCGGTGACAATGGCCCCTGAGCTGTTATGAGAACGTCAGGGGAAGTGGATTCTACATCGGAGTCAGAGTCGGGCCCAAGGTGGTACGGTTCTGACGAGGAAGTCCCCGGTGAAGTGGGACGTTCACGTTCTGCACGTCTAGAGGTGGACGGCATATCCTCATGGGCGGATGGCAAGGAATGGTCCCTTGGTTGAGGACGAAATCCAAATGAGTGGTAATCTTCCCAGCCCGACGGATAATTATAGTAGGGCTGGAACCATCCTTC